GTGCCTCACCAGCAAGTGCCTTGTAGGTGAGGAGAAGTACCTTAAATTCTATTCTTGATTTAACAGGGAGCCAGTGCAGAGTGGTTAATACAGGAGTAATATGATCCCTTTTCTTAGTTCTTGTTAATACACGTGCTGCAGCATTCTGAATCAACTGGAGAGGCTTAAGAGATTTACAAGAGCAGCCTGATAACAAAGAATTACAGTAATCCAGTCTAGAAGTAACAAACGCATAAACTCATTTTTCTGCATCACTTTGAGACAGGAAGTTCCTCATTTTTTATATATTTACGTAGATGAAAAAAGGCAGTCCTTGAAGTCTTCTTTATGTGAGAGTTGAAGGTCATATCCTGGTCGAAGAGAACTCCAAGATTCTTGACGGTGCTGCTGGGTACCAGAGCAATTCCTTCCATAAAAACTGTATCACGTGACAGCTGGCTTCGAAGGCGCTCTGGGCCTATCAAGATAACTTCTGTTTTTTCTGAGTTTAGCATCAGGAAGTTGCCGGTCATCCAAGTTTTGATGTCTCCAAGACATTCTTGAAGTCTAACTAGCTGGTCTGTCTCTTCTGGTTTGATCGACAGATACAGTTGAGTATCGTCTGCATAACAATGGAAGTTTATGCGGTGTTTCCTGATAAGATCGCCCAAAGGAAGCATATAGAGGGTAAATAAAATCGGTCCAAGTACAGAACCTTGTGGCACACCGTGACCAACATTGGTGATCTTTGAGGATTCACCGTTCACAAGCACAAACTGGGATTGATCCGATAAGTAGGATTTAAACCAGCTGAGTGCAGGATACAATGGTCTATCAAATGCGGCACTGAGGTCCAGCAAGACAAGAACAGAGATGAGTCCTTGGTCCGATGCAAGTAGAAGATCATTCGTAATTTTCACCGGTGCTGTTTCTGTGCTATGATGCACTCGAAATCCTGACTGGAAATCCTCGAACAAAGCATTGTTTTGTAGAAAGTCACATAATTGATTAGCGACGGATTTCTCAAGTATCTTAGAGAGGAAGGGAAGATTAGAGATAGGTCTGTAGTTAGCCAACACCTCTGGAGCAAGAGTAAGTTTCTTAAGAAGAGGTTTAATTACAGCTACCTTGAAGGACTGTGGTACATGTCTTGTCAACAAAGACAGATTCATAATATCTAATAAGGACGTGCTAACTAAAGGAAAAACGTCCTTAAGCAGCTTAGTTGGAATCGGATCCAAGAGACAAGTTAAATTAAGTAAGTAAATTAAAGAAGTCAGTTGATCAAGGTTGATGGAAGAGAAGGCATCCAAACAGGCATCAGGGCCCACTGCTGCATCCAAGGTTCCTACATCTGAGGACAGGTTGGCAGGTTATGTTTTAAGGCGGTCTTGCCAAACTAACCTAGATTCTTCTGATTTGGTGGAACGCCATAATCGTTCAAGTTTCCACACAGTTTGCTTTAGGTTCCGTGTTTGAGAGTTATACCAAGGAGCAGACTTCCTTCGTGTTGCTATTCTTCTTTCCAGAGGAGCAATAGCGTCCGGTGCCACTCTCAAAGAGCCTGTAGCAAAAAGTAAAAAGTAGTTTAAAAAGTAGTACTCACTTTACAGTTATTTGTTGTTCTCAGAGCAATTATCTGCATGTTTCATGAACATTATGTGTGTGTTCTCATAGATTTTCTATAAATATATTTATGTTGTAATATGTTTATCCTTTAATATAATATATTGATTATATGATATTTATATTGTATATTTATAATAGTTACGATATGGTAGTTATATTATATTCTGAATATTGTTTTCTATCTATATCTATAAATTTGTACACTATATAAGTCAGATGCATGCCTACAGCATAAACACCATCATTATCTTGTTCTGAGCAAGAGAACCGACAGGACAGTACTTAGTTCACTGTAAACAGAGCTGCAATCTGTTTATCTATCCCAGTATTTGTGTTCATGGGAACACGGGCCAGTGAGAGCAACATCTCCAACTGTATAACAGATAAATGTAATTGTGATGCAATTAGAGATTTTATGCCGTCTGGAAATGTAATATCACGGAGAATCAGGGGAGTTAATTTGCTCTCAGATAATTTATTTCACAGGCACTGAGCACAGTATGTTTTGTTTTGTTTTGCATTTTTGGTCCAAGAGAACGTAATTCCTACCGCAACACCCTACAGTTACCCGTTACCCATTAACACTGAAAGTCGTATTGTAAGCAAATATTTACTTTGATTCTAAAATATTTGCGGATGGGGGGGGCGCATGATGGTCTGGTCGACGGGGAGGGTTAGCGCTGCTTCCTGGAGTACGCCGTGGTCGAAAAGGTCTAATGCAGGGGTCCCCACAGTTTTTCTGCTCGCGAGCAACCTTTCACTCGACTTTTCAATCCAACTCATGGCGATATACCCCCCATCCCCCCGCCCCCCTCGGGCAGTTCGCCCGAACCATAATAACAACGAGCAGCTACCTTTATAGAAATGCAATTTATGTCTTTCTGTAATTTTCCCAATAGCAAAGTCATCCAGCGGGCCGAATCCGGCGCCCAGTGTGACACCTGTGGTCTAGGTCATTAACTCCTTAAAACCTTTAGTTTCAGTTCAGAAAGAAGTGTCATAGTTTAATGTCTGAGACAGGCTTTTCCATCTGCATTGATCCTCAGTCTGCTGTAGACGTTTCAATTCCAAATTTCACTTAGTGAGAACTATTATTATTATTATTTACAAGTTCACTGAGTCCCTGAGTGTCAGAAGCATCATCTGAAACAGTGCAAACACAGTATCAATACGGTTGTTTATTTAGTTTATATAGCCCAAAATCACAAATTAGCCTCCAAGGGCTTTACAGTCTGTACACATGTGACATGTGTCCCAAAACCCTCTCAGGGAAAAAACTTTATCAAGGAGAGAAAAAATGAAGACACTTGGACAACGAAAGAGGAGGGATCCCTATACCAAGATGAACAGGGTGACAAATGTCATGTGTGAAGAATGAACAACATACAAGTTGTATGTCAATGTAAACAAATCTATGAAAACCTGTGAGGAGAGAAAGCACAAAGATTTAACGTGGAAGAACCTGAAAGTGATGTTCATTAATGAGATATTAATTCTTATAGAATGAGAGAGAGGAGTGTAAGTCCCCCGGCAGTTTAGACCTATAGCAGCTTATCTAAGGGCTGGTCCACACTAACCTGAGCCAGGCTTAACTATAAGCGTCATCAAGAGGAGGTCTTAAGCCTTGACTTGAATGAGGTGACCATGTCTGCCCCCCCAGATTGAAATTGGAGGTTGGTTCCACAAAAGAGGTTGAAGCCATTTGGCTTTTTTAATTTTGGCGATGTCATTAAATTACACTGTTGATTTTCACATAGAAAAGTTACTTAGAACTCATGCTACATATGTGCGTGCGTTCTGGTTTGTTTGCAAACCTACCACGCTCCCTTTCTTTGAGTCCTAGAAACGCCCTTGCATAGATAGATAGATAGATAGATAGATAGATAGATACTTTATTGATCCCTCAAAAGGGACATTTTTTGGAACACAGCAGCATGTGCAGGGAAGAAAATAGAATAAAAAGATACACATTATATACAATATAATAAGAGAAATAGTAAATTATTAAATTAAATAAACTGAAACAAAAGAATAACCTTCCAAAAGAGACAATAATAATCATTTGTAAAAGGAGAAGAGGAAGAGGAAAGAGCAGCAACATAACAGCAGTACAGGGTTATTATTGTCATTATTTAGCCTGGGATGATTGTATTGTAGAGTGTTATTGCACTGGGCAGGAATGATCTCCTGTATCGGTCCTTGTGACAGCGGAGCTGAAGGAGTCTGTTGGAGAACGTGCTCCCCTGTCCCTGTAGCAGGTGGTGGAGGGGGTGGTCAGGATTATCCAATATGGATAACAGTTTCTTCAGTGACCTCCCCTCCAACACCTTTCCAAGCTGTCCTGTTTGCAGCCAATGATGGAGCCGGCCTTCTTAACAAGTTTGTTAAGTCTGTTGGTGTCACCGGCTCCAATGCTGCTCCCCCAGCAGACCACGGCCAAGTACAAAGCACTGGCCACAACAGACTCATAGAACATCTCCAACATCGTGCTGCACACATGGAAGGATCGAAGCTTCCTCAGGAAAAAGAGTCGACTCGTCCCCTTCCTGTAGACGGCGTTGATGTTGGTCTTCCAGTTCAGTCTGTTGTCGATGGAGACACCCAGGTACTTGTAGTCCTCGACCATGGCCACCTCCTCTCCCAGAACCCTCAGCGGTAGCGGAGCCGTCGTCTTCCTCCCGAAGTCGACCACCATCTCTCTGGTCTAGGCCACGTTCAGGATCAGGTGATTTCTGCCCGCCCACACCACAAAGCATAACGGCACATTCACATGCACATTCACATCAAAAGCCAAATGAATGTGTGCGCCATTCGCGTCATTAGCGCTTCGCAACCATTCGCGTCTGTGCATTGATTTTTCATGGAATCTACACGTGCTAGAAAATGAACTTCGCTTTTGGTGTGAACGCAGCATTACAATGGAAGGTTATGCAGCGTTTTCACAGGAGTTCTCTGATATATTGAGACACAACACTAAACTAAATTCACCTCTGTAAACGATGCTACAGTGCGTTCATATAAGCGAGACCACATTTACATTCACACAGTAGGAATTCAAGATATTATTCCAATAAATGAGAGTTGTGTGGCATGACTGTAAAATGTTCTATCCCAATACCATACACCAGAACCAGGTCGAAGGTGTGATTAAAATCATAATGTGTGTTCCTGCACACCGATTGAATACGGACCTGGGGATCCGACGTGAACTTATATAATATTGGTAATTTGTTATATCTTATATAACTAATCTATTGGTTCTATAGTTCACGCTGACCAAAGTGTCTATTTCACCTCGTCATGGCGTAACCAATTAGAGGAAACGTTGCACAACATGAGAAGAAGTGCATGCGGTGCACTGAACTGCCTAATCAAATTAATCAAGGCTGCTGCTGTTGCCGCGATGGTATCGTGTGTTTTGCGACAGTGACGGAAAGTGTCGCAAACGTGTGGGAGGCTTCAGGCACCGTTTGATACGTAGCAAGGTAGCCGCCTAAACTGAACTGGATATCTACAGTTGAGGAGGAGCAGTCGGACGGTTCTTAATAACATACAATGGATTTTAGAAGGTCAATGCATCGTCTTTGTGCTCATCTTCCACGGATATCGCCTCGTCCTGAAGGAGGTTGTACAGCGAGTGTGATGTCCCGCTGCTCTGCTGGGTTGTGACGCGAGGAGGGGCTTGCGAAGCAGCCTGCAGGACAGTATCGATGACTTAGCAATCAAAACCCAACTGACTAACGTTACACTCGTTATGCAATTGTATTGTCTCTATTCGCCCAGCCTGCTTCTCTGTATGCCTATTGACTGTCGTAATATCACCATTCGTGGGAGACAACAGTATTTACATCTCTGGAGCTGCGTCAGGCTAGCTGAAGTTGAACAAGATAACACCGGACGTTGGCTGAAATTGCCTTCGCAATAACTGCGCCAAACATATTTGTTTGTATAGGTTTTGAATAGCAACTGAGATTTGCGCCTGTATTGTTACCGTTGTATGTACGAAGCCATTCATTTTATTTTGGCAAAGCGGAAGTCGGGCTTGTTCCTGCTGTTTTGCCACTGGTAGGAAGTGGGATGTGGCCAGGATGCATTTATGCTTCTGTTTTAAGATATGAAAATCATTGAATTAGTGCTGCTTCGGGAGCTCTGTTTCACCGCCGGACACAGGGGGAATTGCGACAGTGTTGCCGGCCGTCGGGGTGGTTGTTTTCGGCGGTCCAAGACGGCGAGTACGCGGGAAGGTGCTGCGCTGGTTTCGTCTGGACCGGACAATTTCAATGAGGGTTTCTCAACCTCACGCCCTGACAATTCGTGTCTGGCGCTCTATTTTGTACATACATAATAACAGCATGTGAATCGATAGTCACGTCGTTGACTTTTTTATTTTATATTTTTTCTTGGACAAAGACGTTGTGCCCGCACCGCCACACGTGTGTATATGTTTTGCAAATGTCAACGACTCGGCGTCAAGTGATGATGGAATCACCTCGAGCCCTCGGAAGACTGGAACTGACCCCCGGTTCAGGCGCTGTCGGGGTCAGCCCGACCACGCGGCTCTCCGGAGGGCACTCCGCAAAGGAGACGTGCGGGCAGCGGCCTCTGGGGCCACAAGGCCCGGCTCGTCTGAACGGCTGCATCCCGCTGTCGCATCAGGTGGCGGGTCATAAGTACGGAGTAGATACCGTGGGTAAGTACTTGCCTACCCTCCCCTTGCAACTTTTTTTTATTATTGAGACCGATACTGAAATGTGACGGTTCACTGCAGTATTCCTGTGAAAGTGAAAGAGGATATTTGTTTAAGACACTACAATTCTGAAAATCTCTGTTTACTGGGTCTGAGCTATTTGCACGATTCAGTTAAATTTTTATCCTCACTTTGTCAGTACTATTTTGTTGTGGTGACCTGTAGGCCTACTCAATCTAATCTGAAATAATTAGTGGATTAGTATGTATGACATCCGTGCGCGGCACGCCCTGTCACTCATGTAGGCAGCTGACATCATTAGTGCCTCCATTGTGTGTCATCAGACGAGTTCCATGTTCCAGTGTTGTGGTCAGGCCTGTTCCAGAGTCCCTCATGCACATGACAAACCTGTATAACCACAAGTTGGTTCTTCCTAGCTGTGGTGTTTTTGCTTAACATGAGCCATTTAGATGTTGTGTACACAGTGTTTTCTGTGGTTTGGTGATCCAACATTGATTTCCATTCCTTGTGTTGAATTACAGATTCACCAGGTTGGCTCCTTTTTTAAAACTGATTAGTTTCATTCTCAAATAAAAATGCTGATCAGTTCTAACGTTGAGCTCATTGTGACACCAGAGATGAACTCAATGTAGGTTAAATGCTGCATGATTACCCTCTGTGGTTAAGAAGTCAGTGTCAGAATAAATAGAGCAGAAGTCAAATGCAAAAATGTATTACTCGTTCTAGAGCTGAAGTAATACGGCATTTATTATTCTCATGAATGACAATTTAGAAATGTTTCATCACTGTGATGTGCGTTGTTGGGAGTGGCCCCGTGGAACTTGGAGCTGGAACTCTTCTGAAGCACATACCCCATAACTGATTAGTGCACGTGTCTTTCAGTTCTTCTTAATAATGTCTGCCACTATTGTAAATGACAGAAAAGGAATGTATAGTGACGATTCCTTGGAAAGTCCATACAGCTCCTGGTTCCATTTTCTACAGTGTAAGGATCAGTCCCGGTAAACATGATCAACTTTAATTTATTAATTTATTATTATAGGGATCAAAACATTGTTTTCCCGGACTCAATTTTTACTTTCCCTTTAACAATTTGTCCTGTTTATTAGCCGTTATCAAATAACAAAGAAATACTAATTCACAAGTGGTCAAAATGGTTACTTGGCAAACTGTACTTCTGAACAACGTTAGGGCCACGGCACCTTTTTGGACTCAGTTGGTCAAGAATCAATATATAAATTATATAAATAATCCAATCTAAGTCTGCAATGTTGGGAATGTGTTTGTCTTACATACCCCATGTAGAATACTTCTGTCCTTCTAGCCCCTTGCAACGAGAGGCATTCTGTCAAATGTATTATAAATCCCGTCTTGGGATTGGTGAACAATCATTAACAGAGCCAGCCCCACATGAAGTTGAATAGGCACAGTATTGAGGCTTAGGCCGCAGTTACTCGGTCTCCACGGCAGTTGCAGAATCAGCAGTGGAATCCTGTTCAGCTTTTACTGTTACAGACTGAAAAGGATCCCAACCACCCAAACTCGTCTCGACTGTCTAGCCATTTTCATTGATTATTGACAGGTAGGTTGGCAGGTGGCTGAATTTATTCCTGAGAACTGCAACCAAGTCAGTTCAAAGGGCCCAAAAAGATGAAAAATGGCACAGAAGTCATGATAGTACTCTGAGGAAATATGAACCTGTACATGCAAATCTGTTTTTCTGCTGCCCGTCATAGCGTCTGTAGGTGTGTCTGTTTGCGCAGTGAGATCATAATGAAGTTAGAGGCTCTTATGCAACGATGAAAGTCCAGCTGAGTGACTCGGTACTGACCTGTCAGCTGCCCTGTGTTCCTTCGTCACGTTGATGGCAGGGCAGGTCTGTATAGCAGAAAGCTGCAATTATTAGAGTTAAAGCTGCATTTGCACTAATCTTTGGACGCCAAAACCAGTTCATAAATCTAACAAAGATGGCCGGTTTGAGGGAGGTACACCTCACAGACCCCCATCACACATACATAAAATATTACTGTCAGACTCACATAGACTATGTGTGGGGGGGTTTCTTTATGTTGTTTTGTATTCATGTGCGTTTGCACATTTGTGTGTTCTTCGAAGAATCTAGAGCCCAAAGAGCAGACTAATCCTTGAGTCCAGCTGTAATCAGCCGTAGTCGTCTTTGATGATGTAACAGGACACTCATCTCTTTCTAACTGCATCTTTCTCTCTACACTGGAAATAGGTCGACAAGGGGGGGAAGTAGGGCTGTCACGATATCAAATTTTTGTTGTGCGATTATTGCACCAACATTTATTGCAACCAACATTTATTGCGATATGCAATTTTCAGACCATTTTATGCCACTGATAACATAATGACGATATAATAGCATAGTAATAAAAGTCCGCTATTTCAACGAACAAAGAATGTTTTCTCGGGTCGACATGGCACAGGGTTAGAGCGGGTACGCTGGGAACCGCAAGGTTGGCGGTTCGAGCCCGGGTTGCTCCATGTCCCATGCCGAAGTGTCCCTGAGCAAGACACCTAACCTGTAGTTGCTCCCTGGGCAAAAATGTAAAAGAAAGTCATGGCTTTGGATAAAAGCGTCAGCTAAATTACCTATAATGTAATATTTGTCAGAATAGTTAGACATTAGAAATTGGAATGTGAAAAAATATATCCTGTATAAATAAAACACAAATAATAATTTGTGAAAGGTGTCCGGAAAGGCGTCCGGAGGAACTGACAGTAGTTCAGGTTGAAAGACGGGCGGATGGTTGTTGTTTTAGGTGAGATTTTATCTTAGTTAGCTTAGTTGGGTCGGTGTCGCTCTGTGTCTGTGTACTGCATAAGCCCCGCCTTCCACAAGGAAAAATAAGAGGCAACGCGATCAACTTAAATGTTGGTGACGTTCATTTATATGTAAAATTAATATCGCAGCACCTAAAATTATTGCACGCGATTTGTGTGCGATATCTCATTTTATTGCACGTTGCGACTGGCCTAGGGGGCATAATTATGGCTAACTTCAGAGGATTCCCACACGCACAACTGAATTATTTCAATGCAACACTAAGCAGTGAAGAACATCTCACAGCCTTTTTTCCTGTTATTGGGCTGAGAAAGTCATACCTGCAGAGAAGCATACGGGCTGTATTCATCTAGCTAGCTCTATAGCAATAGAGCTGCGTAGAATTTGGTTTCCATGACTTCATAACGAAGCATGTGGAACTAGATTAGTTTTCGCATTAATTATTTATGATGTACGCGTAATCACATTTCCTTACTTTTTTTGGGGGAGTCATTGTGACCAACACAAGTGGTGGTGATGCCGAGCGATTCTGCAGTTTTGCTGTGTGGTATGAATCTGTCACTCAAACTGGCCCTCGTGGACTGCAGCTAGGTTCTTTTCCAGTGTAACCAGGAACTCCACACATGCTGGGAAGCCCCTGGAGCTCTAAATGTTGGCTGGGAAAATACTCTTTTGTACCCATAAACTTTTCATGGGTTCAGGATACAGTCTGTCCCCACCCTCCCACCATATTTCTGTTCTTCCTCTTAGTCTTCTCGGTGCTCATCTTTCTGTTTTCTGTGTTTCATTGTGTTTGATAAATGTGGACGGCCATGGACAAATTAAGCAGCGTGTTGTACCTTCACAAAGACTTGCTGTTGTTCACCATTACATCCAGTGATCTTTACGTTGCTTCAAACTAGGGGTTCAAAACGTATGACTGAGCTCTTATTCTTCACTTCATTTTTCAGTGACGTGTCTGTATTTGTTATAGGCATTTTGCAGCATCCAGATGGAACAGTCCTAAAGCAGCTCCAGCCTCCACCCAGAGGTCCACGAGAGATGCAGTTTTACAGCAAGGTAACAAAGCTGCATTCACAACACCTATTAAGCAGAATCAACCTGTACAATGTTCTACCTATAGTGTTTCTATACTGATAATCTTATTTGCTTATGTTGAATAAAGTTGTGATAAATCCTGCAATACTCTATGTGAAAGTAAAATTGTTGTGAGACAATGTGCAGAATAAGAGTCAATCTAATGGCTTCAGGTTTTCAAAAAGAAAACTGAAAACAAAGCCCCTGATGGGAGAACATTTTGGAATTTTAACATAACTTCCTTTTTGTGCGTATAGTGTCTTGTACAGAAAAGCCTCGTCAGATTCAGCAAATACACCAAACTTTAGATCATATTGGGAAACAACTAGTGTGAACATGACAAATAATTGAACGTGTGTCTTCTCAGTGAGTATAATCACCACCCCAATAATACCATACAAGGCTGAATGTACTGGGCCATGAGTCCTAGGCTGAAGTCCTGCTGTCAGAGAAAGTTTCTCATTTATTGTAGCGTCAGCAGAACTAAGGGACCTGCTCAGGACCAACGAGAAGGCCTGTTAATGTCCCCACTGTAACTGAAGTCAACAAGAAATGTTCCATATTAAAAAACAGACGATTTAAGATTATATTAATATTATAGTGTCAATCTAAATGAATGGTCCACACAAATATAGTCAGTCTTAAGTTGTGTTCATAACACCAGGAAGTGAGGGAAGGCGGAGGATTGTCCTGAGGAGACCACTCTGTCGGTACTAGTGGCTAGAGGCCCAGTGAGCACGATTATAACGGAACACGACATTGAGCATTTGCTGCCATTGCTTTGTTTCTATGGTTCTATAATATGTTAAATGGTAAACATGTAAACAATTATCAAAGTAGATGGACATCACACAGTGTCCGTGTGCTGCTTAACGTCTTCCATGTTTGCTATGGAGCTTAACTGCATTGTCGGCCTCAGCAACTCCCATAGAAAGCGGAGTGAGTCATGGTCTCTCTAAAGCTCGTAGCTGGACTCTGCTCTGTGTACAGCAGGACACATGTCACACAATGGGTGGGGCCGCTCTAATTCTCTCATCATGTTCATGCTGATCAATTCCCATTGTTCCCTTCCCATCTGTTTTTAGTTTATCCAGGTGAAAAGAATAGTTGTACCAGAGTTATAGTGCAGATACTCTTTGTTAGCGATGGACTGATTCATTGATGAGAAGATAACCATACATTTTGTTGTGTGTGTGTGTGTGTGTGTGTGCTAGGTGTATGCAGAGGACTGCTGTGATCCATGCCTTCTGCACCTTCAGAACCATCTGCCCAAATACTATGGCACCTGGTCCTCTCCTGACAGCCCCAAAGGTAAGTGAGTGTGTTACAAAGTTAGGTTGTTCTCTTGCTGCTCGTACTTGGACCCACATCATTGTGAGCCCCACACAGTATATACTGAGCATATACAGTATATACTGAGCATATACAGTATATACTGAGCATATACAGTATATACTGAGCATATACAGTATATACTGAGCCGGCCAGGTGATGTAGTATGAAGAGCAACAAGGCCTGTGAGGAAAGGAAGTCGCATTTTAACAATCACAGGACTTTCACCCAGGCGACTGCTGTTTTTCATGGTTTTTAACCAAACGTCAAATTATTACAAATTCTGTAAAAAAAAAATTGTAAATGGACTGTACTTGTATAGCGCTTATCTAGTCTTCTGACCACTCAAAACGCTTTAACACTACATGACATCATTCACCCATTCATACACTAATGACCAGAGAACCATACACAGTGACACCTGCACATCAGTAACTAACATTCACACACTGCAATGTTGGATTAAGTGTCTTGCCCAAGGACACAACGACATGCTTAACCAGAAAGTCCACTCCAATAACAAACATCACACCTGAACAGGGACTTGAACCCTGGACCCTCAGATCAAAAGTCTGATGCTCTACCGGATAGCTCAGTCAATAGTCAAAGAAGTCACATACTCCTAAAAGAGAAAAATGTAATATTGATTGTGTTATGTTTATGTCCTATAAATAAGCTTTTGTAACTTCTCTGTATGCTGATCTTCAGAGCTGTACTTGAAGCTGGAGGACGTGACCCGGCGCTTTATTAAGCCGTGCATCATGGACGTGAAGCTGGGTCAGCGGAGCTACGACCCATTTGCCTCGCAGGAGAAGCGGGAGCAGCAGATCAGGAAATACCCACTGATGGAGGAGATAGGCTTCCTGGTTCTCGGCATGAGGGTGAGTTTGATGGAATGGTCTCAGGACTCTGAGTGGGGTACTTAGCAATTTTGGGTTCCCTTCGAGTTTGATTCTTGTGTACTTCAGTCTGGGAAAGAACCTCTAATTGCCCTGGATTAGGATGAATCAGAGCAATAACTAGGAGCTGCAACTGCGGTAAAACAATTGTTATAAACTAATTGTATTAATTGCTTCTACTCCAATTACTGTTGGGCTTCATATAGTGAATCTCAACACAACTCTAAAAGGGGCAAAGACCGGAACAAACAGAAGAGCAATGCAGTGAGATATACTTTATTGTAATAAATCTTGAATGTAAAGCACCATTTCCATATCCTTATGCACATATCGCCATAGTAACCTGGTAGCAGAAGTAACTGATAACACCATAACACAGTGCAATGAACAACACGAGATACGAAGCAGGTCAATGTTTAACCCATTAGACATGTGGAATATGTTGGCGTCGTTGACTGGCACAGCCCAAAACACACACACACACACACACACACACACACACAAAGTTGTCCATGGAAATAGCTGCTCTTCATCTGTTTGTAGAATCAGAGCGTGGAGCAGTAAACACGCCTCATGAAAAGACTCCGATAGCGAAACCTTTATCACTCCAATCCGTTTCCATTCCAGCTTATTGTCAGTATCGTCCTCGGTTTGCTGTGTCCAGAAGGAAGCAAATGAAGGCTTTCTGTTTGTAAGCAAGCTCATGTTATGTCCATGGTGATGTGGAATACTGGGCATTGTTTGAATCAGACTGTTAATACAATGTATGCTCAGCAGTAGGGAGGAAAGAGGGAAAACCAAACAGATTTCTTGAACTTAAAAGTCACAACTTAGTTAATTCATTAACTAAGTTATTAATGGAACCGATTGGGTGGGCCAACCCAGCCCTTACTACTGCGGAGGCAGTAGATGTTATCACCATGACCTTACATAAAAGGGAAGTGTGAGTGGCTGGTATTCAGGTTATGAGATGATCAATATATTACTAACTGCAAGTCTTTGTGAACTGACATATGAAACTGCCTATTGATGGTGTGAGCTGATCCTTAGTGTAAATGACATCCACTCTATGGCTGTGTGTCTCGGGTCTGTCAGCCTTTGCTCATATGAACTCCATGGAGACCGCTGGGGATTTCTGTGCAGGAGAACGTTATTTTAGATTTGTGCAGCACCGTACACTGAGAAGTGACACAGCATATTATTATAAAACTGAACTATAGGCTATAAAACTAAACTAAGATAACCTTTTCTAGCAGGAATGTATGCTGAGGGTGCTGAAATTTAACTTAAAGCATCACTAATCCACATTTTTATATGAACAACAGTCCATATGAATACATATAATTTGATTGTAAGTCTATGAGAAAAGTACTCTACTTCTCTATTGATTTTTTTTCCCTCAGTAAAGATGGTTTTATGGTCCCAATCTCTGGTCTTATTCAATACAGCAGGATGTTAATTTAGTAAATGATGTTCTGCTAAGAGTAAAATAAAGCTTTAGTGCGTGGCCACTATGATTGGCAGTCTCTGCAACACTCCTCCTCACTCAAAATATGGTCTGATTGCAAAATGCCAACATGTTGACAACTAAAACATTGGTCAACAGACTATTGGGTCACATCACTACGGCGACATCTTCTTTTACAGTATATGGTATAAACCACTGTACGCTACCTCCTCAGCACCAAACAGCAGGCAGGATACTTTCATTCCTTTATCCCCATGATAACATATTGTTTCTTGCTCTTCTGAGTTTGTATCCCTATAGTTGAACGCACTTATTGTGAGTCGCTTTGGATAAAAGCGTCAGCTAAATGACATGTGGCAATTTTGCACAATATTTAAAGAATGTTCAGCTTACACTGTGGTGGCCAAAAAACAAGCCGATGCAGCGTTATCTAAAAGCGGATAGGCCATAATATAAAAGTCCTGTCACAATTGAAGGTACTACATTTAATGTTACATGACCAAAAGTGCAGAAGCACCATGAGGCAACTGTCCTGTTGAAGAATTCTTCCTAGAAATTACAAATTTGAATTCTAACTAACCCTAAATAATAATATTAGGTGTACTGTTATTTAGAAATTAGTATCTAATGAAATAGTTTAAAAGTAGAAGTATCCAACAACCCAGATAAATCAGGGAAGTTGGGCTCAATCGTGCCGAGACAAGGAATTATGGCTTTGAGCGCGGAACATTTCCATAATCTGTTTGTTTACACACAGAGGAGACAAATTAGTGGTAATGACCTTCCTGATGGAGGAGAGATGCTGATGGAGGAGGAGATAGGGAGAATCCGATAAAAGAGGTGGTACGTGATTAGAGGAGAGAGTCCTCCCATGAAGCATTTCCTTTCCTCTTAAGCACGCACTTGGACCCTGTAATATGATTGTGGCTTTAATATTACACATCATGCTTTTGTTCAACAGGGTCTTGTTCATTCTCATCAAAAGCTTTTGGCTGTTTGCACACATGAGTTATATTGAATGATGGGACACCCATTTCGAAAGAAGGCCAAATGAGTAGTAGTTGAAACCCTTATGACCAGTCCTAGTTGTATCTAATCATTCTTTCATTTAATCTGGTTACTACTCCACATCCCCCTTAAAACATGTGTTGCAACCTACTGTGGCAGGTTGTTGCTTATGGACTCAAACTGAATTAAAACGTGTCAACGTTGTATCTTGGACCAGCCGGCTCCTAAAGAGAGGAGGAAATGTAGCTTCTGTCAGCGAACTTAAAGGGATAGTTCAGTGTGGTTCTTCTCCAGAGGCGGTTTATAATTACATTAAATGGAGTTTGGAGGAGGCAGATGAGATTGCAGCTGTGGACCAGTAGGTAGAGCTGCTGTCTTGGACCTCCAGTTGGGACTTGGGTTGAGAGGATAGCAGCTGCTCCACACAATATGATATACAACTGTATACCAAAACCACCATATTGGGTATTTCAGGGACAAGGGCCGACCAGCACAGCACACACCTCATGTACATTTGTTTCCCTTTTAGGTTTATAAAATGTGTGGTGACACATTTGACTCCTACGACCAGCATTACGGGAGAGGGCTGGTTCAGGAATCCATTAAAGACGGTACGTCACCTTTTTGTCTTATTTAACTAGGGTTGCCAACTTCCTCAACCCCAAAAGAGGGACACTTTTTTTCCAGGTGTGCGCGGGCGCACCATTCTCGGCTGCAAACTGTGCAAAACGCTTTCCTTTCGTCATTGGCGACTGCTTTAACCCATGACATTTTGGCTTCCCATTCTTTTTTATAGCTGCAAAGTTTCTTTGAAGGTTCACTGCTCATTTTGACACACGATAACACTCACCTCCCAGTGGCCAGTTCAAACAAACTGTCACCAACAAGCAACAACCGTGTCCCATAGCAACATTCGCGTGAGTTTTTGGCGCGTTTAAAGAAGCCTATTATTGGCCGTCTAAAAAATATATATATATTGGCTGTGATTGGAATACGGGACTGGAGCTGTTCCTGACGGGACATATCAAAATCACCCATAAATCGGGATGTCCCGGACAATTCGGGACGGTTGGCAACCCTATATTTAACATCACTGGACGGGCAGTGTGAGGAACTTCCAATAATTGTTAGTATGTATAACCCTCTCTTCTTTCCTAAATTTGTTTTCTCTCCTTACCTATCTTCTCTCCTGTCTTTCCTAAAGTCCTCTCTACTTCTCCTCTTTTCTGTCCTGTCACCTCCTCCCTTTTTTGACTTTCCTTAACGCCTTTCCTCTGCTCTTTTCTGTCCTGTCATCTCTTCCCTTTTTTATTCCCTAAACTCGTCCCCTTTCCTCTGACCTTTTTTGTCCTCTGCTCTCCTCCAGGCCTGGCTAATTTCTTCCATAATGGTGTCAGTCTGAGGAAGGATGCTTTGTCAGCTAGCATCCACAGAGTACAGCGGATCCTCCGCTGGTTTGAGTCTCAGCAGCAACTGGTCTTTTACGCCAGCTCCCTTCTCTTCGTCTATGAGGGGCTCCCATCCCCCTCTTCCTCCTCATCGGCCTCCTCCTCCTCCTCCTCCCTTTCGTCCCTTCTCAGCACCCTGTCAATCAGCCCTACTGTGGGGAAAACTGCCGCGTTGTCATTGGCAGCAGACAGCAGTTGGGAGGGGAAAGCGAGACCGGAAGGGGCGAAGCTGGAAGAGGAGGTGGGCGAGTACAACAACAACAACATTCAGGTGCATCCCTGGGACTGCAGCCTGGCCACCATTTACACTAACCACACGAAAAAGAGCCACCACCACTGTGCCAGGGGTCACCTCCGTGGCAACCATGGAGACAGCAATGCTGTGGAGACAACGGCAGGCCCGGTTCCTGAAGATAACATCTCAGCGCTGTGTGAAGAAGACAACTCGACGTGGAAACGAACTGGCGAGTCACAGCCGGCCAACGGAAACAGAAACAAGTCCCAAGTGAAAGGGCAGGACGATGAGGGAGGCAGGGAGGGCAGGTGCCAGAGGAGGCAAAGGGAGGAGGATGAGGACGGAGAGACGAAAGGACGTGAATGCGATGCAACAGATGGAGGCAGCGAAGACACAGAGGTGGAGGTTAGGATGATCGACTTCGCCCACGTTTTCCCGAGCGAAAGCCCCGATCACGGCTACATCTACGGCCTCAAACACCTGCTGACGGTGCTGGAGCAGATCCTCTGTGATGCCGCCTAGAGCCCCAACTCCTTGCTAACTGCTCTAGACCGACTGAAGGTGTCCATTCTGACAATCCTCCTCTCCTCAAAAGACCGACACCTTCAAAAGGGATTATTATTATTATCATCATCATCATCTCACCTGTTTGTGACGATCCGTCCGTCCGTCTGTCTGTATGTATGTTGTTGACATTTTTTTCTGTGGTCAGCACCACTACATGCACTAACCAACCCATGAAGGCATTGCGACCCTGTACTTAAACACAACATCTTTAGCTGAACAATTTACTGGTGCTCAAAGAGCTGTACAATGTTACGTGACGACACCTTCTGTGTACATATGCACATGCATAGAAAATATGCGTTTGTTTTCTGTAAAACCCAATACGCATATCACTACACCACCTGGGGCTGGGCAGTGTGTATATCAGGAGCTGATAGTCCTCGCGTAGCAGCTGTCCCTTTTCATTTCTCTGGTCCAACATTGAGGGAACTATATCAGCACTGCAGTTTATATGGCAATATCCATTTTAAAAGAGTTTCATTGAAGAGCTTCAATGTGATGAGGTACAATACTTTTATTTTTCTGTTATGCAATTTCAATGATTTCTCACTTTTTGGAAAGCTGACTGATATATCAATATTACAGTAAGATTACAGTATGAACAAGATGATTAGCTCCGCGTCACCTTTTTGGCAGAACAATCCAAATTAACTTCGGTTGTCACAAGGATTAACTTCACATCAAGGCTTAGTAGCTTATGTGTTTCTACCTGTAGTCCCCCAACACTACCATGGAAACACAGGAGCGTTTGGACAACACAGTGATGGAACATGGATCAAACTCCATATTTCTCCACAGGGCTAAACTGCATTTGATCCATGTTGGTTTAAAACACACTGTCCCATTACAAACAGAGCAAGGCTTTCATTGGTCCCCTCTGAAACCAGTCAAATGAGGGTTCAGGACCGAGCTCGGGATCAGTGGTCTAACCAGAAGTCTGGAGAGTGTTGAGGTTTAAGTCGGGTCGTCATTTAGTGTTTCTGGTGAAACGCGGTCTTCAGGTATCTAACTCAGGTGAATTTACTGTAAGCGAGAATGCGTACTACTACTACTATCCTCTCAGCGAGACGATCCTCATGCTGTCTGCTTGTTTTTTTTAAAGTCTTTAATCTCATGGTTGTCATTATCTCATCATCGCTGACCTTGAGTCATGTTAATATTAGAGTGAAATTCCACATCCTTTTTTTCTTTTACCCATGGCTGTTTTATTGTACATGTGTATGCTGCCAAATCCCCGTGTGTGTGTGTGTGTGTGTGTGTGTGTGTGTGTGTGTGTGTGTGTGTGTGTGTGTGTGTGTGTGTGTTATATGAATACCATTATATTGCCGATGTCATACCTTGTAACCCTGTCTTTTTAAAAGTAATTTTTACAAATCTTTAGAAAGCTTTAAGATCAAGCGGTAACATTGCTCATGGGACACTGCCCATACTCTCACATTCAGTTCATTAACCATGAACTCTATGGTTTTTAGTTACTATAATGTAATGAAGGAGTTATAGTAACTAAGGAGGGCATGAATCGGAAACTCAACCATTTGCCACCCAAATTCTGGATAGATGATTGATTCACAACGGTCTTTTTTTCTGTGGGGGAGTCTTCCTGTATTATACATGATGTGCTGTGATTGGCATCATGATCACATGACAAGACTTCCTTAGGGATCTTAAGATTGTAGTAAAACAATATTTGCAATTTTTATAAAAATGCTTTAACCCAAGTTGACTCCCTGTAGAGAGAAACTGAATGACTGAGAGTGGGACAGAATGAGAAAAGGACAGCAACTGAATGCTTTCATGTCATTTACACTTTTTTTATTTGATGTCGTTTTTCTGGTGCGGAAGGACAGAGATGTCCTGAGTGTTGGTTGTCTTTATTACATTAATCTCAATCAATACATTAATCTTAATCTCTCTGCATTTTATTTTGGTAGGACTCTTTTCAGCTTTTAAGGTTGATGCTGTAGATGTTAGAAAATATGTCAAAGGTTTATTGAGACCAAAGCTTTCCATAAAAACCTGTTCACTTCACTTAGCTGTGGTGGTCAATACGAATTTTTAAAAATACTTCTTTGCAATCATGCCTTTGTTATCTTGTTTGCCCCAGGAAACAGATTTAGCTTGTTTTTAGAGAAAACATGTGATACGGTCCCCGCTTCTGGACCTTAAAAACACATCTCATACACTTTATTAGCTGATTGTTCATCTGAAGATCAGCTGAAGATCACAAGGTACTGATGCAGGCGTGTGTGAGATTTTATGTATCTATTTGCTCTGGAACGGAGTTTCTTTACATGCATTGATTAATGTGTGTGTCCTGCTCAACACAACCTGAAAGGACTCCACGATGAAACCAACCTGGATCTACGTGACCGAAGTTCTGTCTCTGTCATTCCTAACCATGTTTCTACCCAAGCAGGGCTATAATTTGTGGGGAGGAACATGGACTAATGCTAATAGCCATCAGGGGTGTTCGACACGTGGACGTCATTAAGCAGCTTCTCCCTCAGTCTGTATGAGAGACCGCCACTTTCCTTTTCATTGCTCACCTTAAAGGGCCAGTACGTAGGGGACGTTTTAGCAGAGTTGCACCCCTGATCTTGTAAAAGGGAGAGAGGCGCTCACACTGTTAGAGCCCACCTCACCCCACGCAGCGTCACCTTTCAGAGAGTCCATGACAGACAGTTTTTACACTGTCTGTTGTAACTCACTTTACATGCTCAGCCTTTGTGAACTCCAGGATCCCATGGCCTGGCTTTGATTTTTGTTAGTTTATGTAGCTTGTAATATATGAACAGATTAACTAAATTGTATTATGATTTTAATCGGAATCAAAAGAGTACTACTAGAATGTATGGCTTTGTTTGAGTTTTCCATAAAACTGATAAATTGTTTAAAATAATCAATGTGAAAGTTGAGGTGTATTTTATTAAAGGATGTTTACAGGACCCTTTTTTTTAAATCACTGCCTTATTTTTCTTCTTCTGTTTTAAATATTGATTATCGATCATTCTGGCAGTTTTGTGAATCTCCTTTGTGTTACTAGCCTGTTGTGTTATGGTGAACCAACAACACAAACCGTATTATGCATTTGTATACAAGGCATTGTTGATGGAATAGCACTGAGGGACTAACTGACTCATTGTGAGGCAGCCAATTAGTGCAAACATCAGCTGTTGTCACTGAGGCAGGTGGCAGATTCTCCAGCAGCACTATGTTGCTATTCTATATAAAGGACGGGTTTTAGTAGCAGTATGTCCATCCTTTACACTGCAACTGAATCACAACATAGTCTTTCCCATTCCACCATGCGTCATCCCATTCCACATCGCGTTCTGTCATTCCACATTGTGTCCTCCCATTCCACTTTTACTGTTTGACAGCCCTTTTCAAATATAATAGACTGACTAGAAAAAGCCCAATCCCTGATTTACCATGCATCCCCAAAATAATAGCAGCCCTGTGTTTACTACGGAGCCTTACGTGTACCAATAAATGATTTTACAGTGTGTGTAATCATTCTAATACCAATTAAAAAGAATATAACAAAACCGATTAAATACATGTTTTTAAATGATTCTGAATTCTGTTACCTTTATTATGTCTTTAAATGTAATAAAATGACTTTGCAGCAATCATTTCAAAGGATGTTTGAATTTAACATGTGCTGAGCGATTAATTTGATGCCACACAGTTGGCTAATTTAAATTAACATCACTGCAGCTAGCATCGGACACAGAGATGGGCAGTGTTTCTATTACTTGTATTTGAAATATGTATTTCAATAACTTGAGTATTTTGTATTTGATAACTTAATTTGTAACAATTCTTTCAATTATAGTAATTTTGTATTTTAAATACTCAATACTTGTCTGTGTCTGGCTACATAGCATATTGGTTATAATATTAAACTAGCGATCAACGCTTACACTCTCTGCCACCAGTATTTTATCTTAATACATTTATTTCAGGGGTATTTTGTTTCAAAACTAATTTTGATGTATTTTTTCCCCCCTCTAATCAGGCGCTTTTACAAAATAGCTTGAATGACACGATTAAATATTTGATGAATTGATAATTATCAACTTATGTTTTTTTTAATCTTTATTATTTAAGTCACTACATTTTATTATGACAGGAAATGACCTCAAAAGGCTGGCGCATGCTTCTGCGTCTTTACGCACCGCTGTGTCGACGCACACGTTTTAATTCATGGTTCTAAAAGTCTTGCGTGTGTTGCAGAGCAATTCACCGCCAGAACAACAGGCGGAGTAACTTGTTTTTCTTGAAGACGACCTGGAGAGTCACGTCTTTGTGTGTGGAAGTTAGTACTTGTAATGGCTCTTAAGTGCTAAAATTTGTTAGTGTTTTTAGTTTGCGGCGGAAGATGTGAAGGCTCTCTGCGGTCCTGATGTCTTCAGAGAGCTCGTTTCACCATTTCGGCGCAAGGACAGCAAAGAGTCGTGATCTAGTCGAGTGTTTTGCGCTCAGTGAGGAGGAACTAGCATTTTGGCAGATCCAGACCGGAGTGTCCGAGTTGGGATGTAGGGTTTGACCATGTCCTGGATGTAGACTGGACTGGATCCATTCACAGCATGCTATGTGAGCACCAGTGTTTAGAACTGGATGCGGGCAGCCACTGGTGGCTAGTGAAGAGAGCGGAGGAGTGGAGTAGTGTGGGAGAATTTAGGAAGGTTAAAGACCAGTCGAGCTGCTGCATTCTGGATGAGCTGCACACGTCGAATGGCGGCAGCAGGGAGATCTGGAGAGAGTTGCAGTAGTCAAGAGGGAGATGACAAGAGCTGAATCAGTACCTGCGCTGCCTTCTGAGTGAGAAGAGGATGTATTCTCCTGACGTTGTAGAGCGTGTATCTACAGGATCGTGTCGTTGCAGTGGAGAGTTGGCTGTCAAGTGTCACACAGAGGTTCCTAGCAGTCAAAGTGGGCATTAACACACAGTTGCCAAAGTCAAGGAGTGGGTTAACTCTTGCCTCATTCAGAGAGTTGGGAAAACAGCCAGATGACAGAAGAGTTAGTGAGACAGGTGAGGAAAGGAAGAGTGTCAGGAGCAATAAATCGTAGGATATGGGATGGCATGAGCAAGAGGGCAGGTAGTCGGACGGACATAGGTTATTAAGGTAAGAACTTGGTTAAGAGACAGGGGGGTGAAAGAGGGAAGCGAGGGGGATAGAGGAAGTTGATGGGACACAAGTAGTAGGAGATGGGTTTGAGAAAGAGCGTATGTCAGCTATTCTTTTGGTAAAATAGTTTCAAAAGTCTCCCGGAAGAAGGGTGGAGGGGGACTCGGGAGTTCGAGGATGTTGGAGAAAATGGATTTTTTTGGGGTTATAAAAAAGATTAAATTCTAGATTGGTAGAAACCTTTTGGCAGCAGAGAAAGAAGCAGAAAAAGATCAGAGAAGAGATTGAAACTTAGGCAGGGCGTTGATTCAAGGCAGGATAGATTCATGCTTTTGTTTAGGCCTCAGTCTGGCCCTACTATCTGAATGTCGCAGCTAAAATTAAGACTCATCCGACTATGCAACGTTTTTCCAATCATCTATTGTCCAGTTTTGGTGAGCCTGAATTGTAGTCTCAGTTTCGAGCACCCAGTGTGGTCTTCTCCTGCTGGAGCCCGTCGTTCAAGGTTCCACGTGTTGTGCGTTCAGAGATGGTATTCTGCATTCCTTGGTTGTAACATGTGGTTATTTGAGTTACTCTTGCATCATCTGGGACCAGTCCGAACTTTCTCCTCTGACCTCTCACATCAATTTGAGCATTTTCGTCCACACAACTTCCGCTCACTGTATATTTTCTGTAAACCCTAGAAACGGTTGCGCGTTAAAATCAGCAGTTTGTGACTTACTCATACCAGCCCGTCCAGGACCATCAACCATGCCAGGTTCAAAGTCACTTAAATCCCCCTTCTTCCCCATGTTGATGCTCGGTTTGAACTTCAGCGAGTTGTCTTGACCACTTCTACATGCCTGAATGCATTGAGTTGCAACAACTGATTGGCAATTTGTGTTACACGCTATTGAACAAGTGTACCTAATAAAGTGGCTGGTGAGTGTAAATGCTCACTCTAAGCCGCACAACACACACATATGTAATTCTTAGAAGCAGTGAAAAATTCATAAAACGTTATCGGTCACAATTCAAAAAGTTGAAAACATATCAAAGCTGAACTATTAGCTAACAGTTCAGGGATTTGTCCACATTTTATAGTTAGATGGTGGTTGTAGCTGAAAGATTGAGGAAAGTCTAAAAGTTTAAAATGAGAAAAATCTTCAGTCATTTTAATGATAAATATGAATATTGCTGAATTTTTGAAAACGTAAAAGGAAGTAGAAACTACAGTAAGTAGTGGTATTAGTAGTAATATAAATACTACAAATATTCGCAGCATTAGTAATAATTGTCAAAGTTTTAGTGAGAGCCTTATGCATTTAAATAAAAAAAGGCTAGTTTTGATCTCGATCATGTTTTCTTGCTTCAGCATTTTTTGGCCTTTTCTCTGAAAATGGCATACACATGCTAAAAGTGTAATGACTCAAACTACTTTGTCTATCTGGACAGACTGCACCAATTAGCTTACATCTATCACCTGTGTGCTACCTCAGGAGATTAGAGACTAATCAAGTGAGACGCAGACTGAGAGAAGAATGATTTTTCATAAAACTACCCCTCAAACTAGTGCCCCTAGAGGCCTATTAAAAGAAAGCCTTCCTATGCAGTGCTGCTCTGACACGCTGTGTGCTGACTTGCTGGTAAAAAACTGTAAGTCACCCAGGTGCATGCTGGTCCTATACCTGGCTATGCCCTTAAGTAACCTCCAGGTGCCCACAGTATTACCTAATTCAGTGTTTTTCAACCTTTTTTGCGTCAAGGCACACTTGAGACACAGAAAGAAATCTCAGGGCACACCAACAACCGGAAATGATATGAAAATCAATCCCAAACATAGTTTCAGCATGAGCATAATATACTCTAAGAAATCAGGGAAACGCGTGTTCCATTTGTTGTTTTATTAAACTTAACATCATCCTAATGCCAAGATGGCACAGACTTTATGGCCAGGTATCTCTTAAGCCTAGTTTATGCTTCTGCGTTGTTTCCTCGCGTCGCTTTTCACACCTCCTTACGTCCTTGCGTGTGTCGAGCCATTTTCTAGGCTTGCGCAAGCCTCCCGCAGCGCACCTGGCTGCGATTGGTCCGCTAACTACGTCCTTTACGGACCAGATTTAAGAACTTTTGTCGGAAGAAATGCGTAAATATGACCGCTTATAGAAGCTTGTAGAAGCGGGTTGGATTCATGGAGGGAGATCGCCGCTGGTTTGCCGGTCGAGAGGTGCACAAAGTTGTGGAGGAAAATACGGGACAAATGTGTCCGCGATGAAAAGCAGCAGTGGCGATGCACGGGGCAATAAAGTCTATGATAAATAAACCAATAAATAAATAGACGTGACTCTCTAGGTCGTCTTCAACAAAACACGTCACTCCGCCTGTTGTTCTGGCGGTGAATCGCTCTGCAACACGCGCAGAACCATGAAGTGAACCGAGTGCGTCGACGCAACGACGCAGACGCAGCAGCACGCGCCGGCCTTAAATATCACTTTTTTAAATTGTCGCCTCAGCAAATCTGCCTATTAATTACGCTGCGTAGCGCCACCCACAGGCAGAGGGGAGTATTGAGCCTTCATACCACCAACAGCGCGACGACACACACACAAACACAAGTTGGCTCTTTTTTTTTTCACCAATGAAGTGACAGTATGTAAAAAATGTTTTTTTTGGTTGAAAAACACTGACCTAATTAACCAAACCTATGCATACCTGTTGACAAAAAAATAAAATACGATTTGTATTGAATTTAGATTAAACTAAATTGAATACAAAAACAGAAAAAGCTATCTTAATACAATATCAACCTAAGAAACCAAACAATAATATTTAAGAATAAATAACTAAATAATTGCTCCCACAGTATGTATATGTCACGTAATCAAATCAAATAAAGACCTAAGCTGTTCGCCACAGTCAAGGCATTAAAATGTTATCTAAATAGAGGGAGCACCATAAACAGTCCATCTATCGATCAATCAATGCGGGTCATGATTTATCTCGACGTGGCGCAGAGGTAGAGCGGGCGCACCGGGAACTGCAAGGTCGGTGGTTTGAACCCCGGCTGCTCCATGTCCCATGTCAAGTGTCCTTGAGCAAGACACCTAACCCTTTATTGCTCCCCGGGCAAAAATGTAAAAAGCCATGGGTTAAAAATGCAATGTATGTCGCTTTGGATAAAAGAGTCAGCTAAATGACCTTCAATGTAATGTAATCTATGTGTATTCAGAGCCAGTCAGCAACAGGCTTTCAAAATATATACAAGTTTTTAAAGTGCATTAACGCAAAACAGAATAATTGTCGGTGTTATTAATTCCTGCGTTAGTATAACATCTTAACTTGCTGTTACGTTCTGACTCCCCAGGAGGGGAGTGGGATTCACGCCACTGCCCGAGGACGTCCTGTGACCAGTAAACGGGTATGGCGTCGTAGGTGCAAGAAAACAAACATCACCTGAAGTTGGGGTAAGCAGGCTTTTATTTAAGCGCTGTTAACAGGGGAAATGAGGAGGGCTGGCGGTACCAAAGCAAAGAAAAGAACAAAATGCCTCCCACCCCCTTACCTGTCCTATCTCCCAACGAAAACCACTAACTGGCACACTAACAAGGCGCCCTAACCAAACTTACAGTAGGTGGCCCAGCCAGGTGTAGCTAGTGTTGTTAGACAGGAGAGTAACCCTACGTGCAGGTATGTAAACTCCGGAGCAGGGCTAAACTACTATTGATATATTAAGAACACCCATGAGATTACCTAAAAAGATTTTGCCAAAAACAATATAGAAGTTGTGACTTTTAAGAAATACAGATTGCTAAAACTATAATGGTCAGTAGATTATCATATAATAACCTCGTAATATCTTTAGCTTCATTGTTGATTGAATAGCAAACTAAAGGGTAAAAAGAAACAAGGGTTAGTTTATCCCCACAATTATAATCAAAACATTACTATATACACTGAATCAATTTATTAACACACAACAAACTGTTGGAGTAAAATGAGCCTGTGACCGCGATGGCGAATGACATCATTGTATTTAGTCGCATAGCCTTTTCTAAAATTCCTGAGTTAAAGACCAACAACGTGAATCAAAATAGCATTTATACAATAAAGAATGCAAACACTTTGCTGGTCCTTAATGAATGTATGCTGGGCTCATGTCCTGATAAGTAGTGTTAAAATAATCACTGTCAAAAATGACCAACCGAAACTACAGTAAATCAAAAGAAATGTCATACGAAACTAATGTGACTCATAAAGATAGAGCCTTTGTCTTTCAGAAAGGGATTGTTGTGCATGTGATATGTGACTGTTTAGCCTTAATGCCTTTTCATAAAATGTAGGGCTGTCAACATAAACGCGTTAATCTATGGGATTAATGTGGCCGAGATTAATGCAACAAAATATTTTTGCGTAGTTAACGTACATTTGTTTACCGTGGGAACGAGGCGGCCGCAAAGCTGCAGTCAGTTACATAAAGATGGAGAAAGCTTTTTGCATTGGAAGTAAAACAAACCGAGGCGCGACAAAATATGCAAATCAAATTCAAGATCCATCTTTTTAATGGTCAGCGGCCCACTGGCGGACCACCATTAAAAGGCCCCTCCGCCATCTGCAGTATCTATGCTTTGAAAAGGGCCGGTACGTTATGTTGGGATTTTTGCTTTCTTTCTATTGCATGTGTGCAGTACACCAGCCTTAGAAATGCCTGTTTGTATAACAATAATCACCCAAAGTCCCCCTAAACTCTTGAAGAAAACCTGGTAAAACATCAGCAAAACTTGATGAAAAAAAATGTTATTTAATCACCACTACCCAAGCACATTTATTTAATCATTCATTCATGCTAAAATCCTACTGTTCAAAGTGAGTCGAGACAAGTCTGAGATGGTGGCTGTACACACAATGACTGCATCTCGGAGTCACTTTACAGCAGCACCGGGTGGATGGAAAAATTCTTATTTATCAAGAATTAGTCTCCCCACTTTACTCTCCCGAAAAGCGCAACATGTCATTTCTACGATGCTCATGGTATACAGGTGTACAAGGGATATACTCCATACTCCACCAATGAAGTAGCTTTGGTCTTGTATTTACTTTGGACAGTCAAGCTAGCAGTCTTTATGCGAAGATGGGCTAACCAGATCCATATTCCAGCACCATACTTCACACACAGGAATGACATTCAAATCCATTTCTTCATCTTACTCCGGCAGAGAAAATATGCAGATTTCCAAAAACGATTTCGTTTTCAGGTTGTCGATTGAAAAAATGCACCGATAGACTCGCACATGAAAATCCATTAGATTGGAAATTTAATCAATATAAAATCTGGGAAAATCTTATCTCCCACAACATCCACAACTATCTATGACTAATTTTACTGCATGTTCAGAACAGATTGTTCCTGCAAGATTTATATTCTACATCAAAGTGTTTTGGGATAGCCATGGAAAACTGGAGGTGAAGGAGGACATTCTTCTTGGCGCGACCTTAGTTTTCTTTTATCCAAAATGTATTGGCTGCTCACTAAAGGGTCTTCAACGCCTGTGGGTAGTACTTGAGGAATATCCTGCGGGCGATCTCGTACGTGTCTCCCTGAGGCTTGGTCGGGTACTGTTGGCCATTGTAAATGAATCCCTTTTCTACCTGGAAAACGGCCTGGTTGAAGGTATCCTGCTTGAATGGCTGTCCACTTTCCAGACATTCTACCAGAGTGTGAATGAAAAGGGCCCATCGCTGGGTGTAGTAGTCTTCCATAAGACCGCCCCACTCTTTGCTGGCGTAGTCGAGTATCTCACTGCTGGGACCCCATAGGGTCAGCTGGTTTCTGGCGTTCATGTCGTAGAGCTGTGCTTCCTTTTCATCTAGGGCTAAAGATCGAGCTCGCTCCAGCCACGTCCCTAACAGGAAGTTGCGGTCGCTGCTCAGCAAACGATTGAGTTCAGGCAAAAGATCATGGACCAGCACCCCACCTGCAATCAGCAGCTCTGGCAGCTTTTGGTTCTGGAAGGCGGCTGTAATTTCCTGGTAAAAGGAAGTCGTCAGGACTTGCAGGACCTGCCGTGTGACATCCACAAGGTCGTACCGGAAAGTCTCCTTGGACATGAGAGATGGAGCGGCTTCTATAATCAGTTTCCAGGCTTTGTACAAATCTGATGGGTCATACCAGACATCAGAATTCATGTGAAAAGAGGGCCGGCGTACCAGCGGGCTGTGGTTGTGGTTTCGGTAATGTGGGACTGTGCAATTGTAGACGCTGGCAAACAGGAGCCTCCATGCAGTGGTGAGGTTCTCCTGTGTGCTGCCGTAGCGGCGCATTGCATACAGCGATGCCCACTTGGACAAGTTGACGGGCTCTTTGCGCCACGCTAGCTCGCTCATCAACTCGAACATCACAGGATTCTGTTCGATGCCCTCCGGCGTCATGCCTAGGCCCACCAGGGTGGAGTTTGGGAAATGTAAGGCTTTGAAGGGCCCTGAATTGATACTCTCCACTGTGCCAAAGAATCCACTGTTGCCCCCAAAGTTTTGCAACATACACCAGATAAAGGGCTGTCCGTAGAAGGACTTCGTGTAAGAGAAAATTGGCTCAGTCTCCGCAAACAGGTCCAGCACAATCATTCTTCCAAGAGGCACTCCGTGTAGCAGGGCCTGCATTTGAGCCGGCTTCCAGAACGCTGCGTCACTAAAAAACAGCCAGCCTTGCATCAGCCAAATTGCCTGAGGATCAACTGGGAAAGAACAAAGATTTGGATGAGGGACAACAAGGACACAGTTCTGGAACAGCAGGGAGTGTGAGGGAGGCTGTCTATGAGAGAGTTGGACATTGTGTCACACATAGGTCATCAACCTAGGGCAATTATTGTACTGCTACCCACAATACCAATAGTACTAAACTTGCAATGTGAACTGGCTATTAGTCCCCCGGACACTCACCTGCAGTCATCGAGGCAAAGACAGAGCGACTGACTGCAGCCAGGTACGTGGGGTCAGAGGAAGGTGGACTCATCTCATTGAAGGTGTCAGTGTTGTAGATGTGATCTGTACCAAACTGCTTGACCACCTGGGACAGATAGAGGGAACCGATCCGGAGGAAAAGTGGGTCGCGAGGGTCTAATACGTAGGAGCATGAGTAGCTGCAGTTGAAGTGAGCCCAAGGCCCCAATCTGGTTACAGTGGCTTCTGGATACAGCCTAAAACACAAGAAACGTTTGAGGACCCAAACCTTTGATCAAAATATTTCCTAGTCCTAGCGTCACTGACGGGCCCTCTCTAAAGAATCAGGGATTAAGTGGGACACAGAACTTCAGCTTCCTACATATATTTCCTCAAGGCTACATTATGCACTAATGAACTAAATTAACTTGTTGCTAAAAAACGAGGTCCTGCTTTGTCTGAAGGCCGAACACGTATGGCCAAACTGAAAGAAAGGTAGAAGGACCAATGAGAACAACAACCGGAAGCTTAGCCAACATTTAGGTCAATCGGGACTTAGAACATCACTGGATAACAGCCTCAAAAATCCAATGCTGGCTCGGCTGTGTTTAGAGCAGTAGGATTCAGAAATGTTGAAACAAAGACATGCTAGACTCACCTGAGGATTCCCTTGGGAATGTTCCCAGAGAAGGCTGGCAGCACAGGAATCATACCAAAAGATCTCATTCGCTCCAAGATTTTAAACTGCAAAACGAGAAGAAAGAAATTCTTTTGAGAGCATTCGCTCTGAAGCAGATTATTTGAACAAATTCCTCATACAATTTAAGCAGACTTAATATTTTATCCAGCAAAATGGATAGCCTTTATAAGCAATAGAACAGTGGTTAAACGACAACCATGGCTTCATTTTGGCCATTGCTCCTGTTGAGAAACTCACTACAGGCTGTAAACAAAGGGCCCAGAGCGGCCATAGTTACTTGGATGTTTACAACAATGTTTTTACCATAAACAATAGGAATGCGAACTGAAGCCACTACATGTAGATGAGTAGAGTGTCCAATTGAAAACTAAGAATCCGGGTGACAGCTGGGGCATTCTACGTGCTGCTTCCAGCCACAGTGTTTAATGCTACCGGTCGGTGGTGCCAGTCACAAATGTCCGGATTCTACACAGTGTCTTCTAACTGCGTTAACAAGCAAGGAGATTTCAGTACTTGGAGGGAAAGTTGGTTCACATGCCAAGACTGTGGCAGAGGCCCACCAAACTTAACGAGGTTTCCCATACGGTTCCAGGCCAGAAACGCTGCACCTGAGAAGAACTCTTCAATCTCCGACTGGTTCAAGCCAAGAGCTCGGTAAACCTGAAAAGGTACACAAGTTGATGTTTATCCACATGCTGATGCACACATCCAATACCATCTTATGCATCTGGCCAAAGACATTATGGTTGCATAGGTCACATGGAGTTATAAAATGTCTTGTTATTGTTTTAAAAAAAGGTAGATTAAGTATTTTTATGGGTTTTTTTATCTTATGAAAGTTTAATATGGACATGAGCCAAACATGACCATTTAGGAACGGCTTAAGAAGGAGATGAAGACGGATGCTAAGAGACGTTTTTCCAGCACTCTTGTGGTTTTTTCAGAAAGCCTCTGCCCTTACCTCTTGCCACAGGGCTTCCTGACCGGTGAAGGCCAGCGGCAGATTGATTCCATTGAGAGCCATCCAGTCGATCTCTCGCTCCCATCTTGGCCAGTCCCACCACACGGAGGAGTAGCTAAAGGTGCACACGTTCTGGTAATACCGGAAACTGGATGGAAACACAAAAAATATAGACCATTCTGAAAGGGACAAATTTAAGAATGACATGTTCAAATGATAAAATATATTATTTAAAGAATTATAATAACCCTAAAATTCAACCCTTTACCAAACTACAATCCATAAAGCTGCCAGTCAACAACTAAATTACACTTTATTAGCATTCGGCACAAAATGCAGGCTGTGAATAATACACTAAACAAATCCAGCATTGTCAACATGAGTTTATGACGTCTCCTAATCCGCTCAAATAAAAACACTGAGCACAATTATTAGCAAGCTCACTTGTTTATTTTAGTGAAAATAATAAACAACTCAATTTACAAATAAATATAAAAAATTAACTAATAGGATTCCATTTGTCAGTCTGTCGTTGATCGGTGTACCGCAGCAACCTCAGCCTCCCTTATCAGAGACGTGCAAATCTTCTCCCTACACTCACATTTATAAAAGTTATTCTCATCTCATCAGGCCATAAAACTTTTGTAAAATCGGTCCTTAGAAATTTCATGGCCCTGTCTCAAGTTTTCAACTTAAGTTTTGTGAGATGCATGTAGTGGTAAAAACATTCTGTAAACAATTGTCTTGTGCTAAAAGCCAGGTCTCAGTGGTTGACCCGGAGATGTAGAGATAGAAAGATTTAGGGTTTGCAGCTGTGTTTGGGGAAGGGGGTTAACTTTCGATCAGAGGAGCATTGTGTGTTACCCTCAGCTTCACTTTTTGACTTTAATTGATCAACGTGCTGGATCCTTCTCATCAACCGACTCGGGGGGATCGGAGATCCTGACAGTTTGTTGTTCAGTGGTGGTCGGGTTCCAGCGTTCCTTATCTTGGGCCGTGGCTCGGAGCACTAAACTCCTTCTACTTTTGGCCCCTCCAGGTAAGTTGCACTTCTAGAATATGACAGCAGGAGGAGAATGGCTTCCTTGTAGCTTTACATTGGATTCTTCTCAAATATTTGGCAGTTAATTTGGATCTTTTTTTCTTCTTGAAACACATTACTAGCGACCCTTTTGACTATTTCCAACAGATGGACACGTTTCCAACGTGCATCGGGGGCGGTGCTCCACCGTGTTCAAAGAGCGGAGGTGAATTGTAAACTCGAGACCCCTTGGGCAAAGTCATCATGCAGACTTACAGAAAAGGTTCATAAAGAACTCAAAATGTCTGCCAGAGACACTCCACAATGTGACAGTGGGGCAAAACCCTCACAGATTCCATAGGGGGGGGGGGGGTAGGACACATGGTGTTAAAGTGTAAAAGAACATGATACATTTTTTTTTTAAATATATAGAATTGTAATTTATACACTTTAACAGTGGAACTGAAAATCAGGAATATATACAGTATATATATTTTGCACCAACACATCAGCAGAACTCGAGTCTCTAAGTGTGCTCCTCAGTGTGCCTAGGTTCCACCCTAAAAAAAAGAAAACTCTACAATCAGCGATTCCCAAAGTGTAGGCCCCCTGGTGGGCCGCGAAGGTACTGCAGGTGGGCCGCGAGAGGCCATTTACAATAAATAAATAGTTTTTTAATTTTCAATTTTTAAAAGTTTGAAATGAATATAAAAATATTTATGATGCGGCACAATAGTTATGTGAAACTTAAACGGACAGATTAATAAAACAATAAGGCTCTCGAAACGGCTGCTCTTGTCCGCCTGTCGTTGTTCAACAAACCGGACGCCCTCTTGTAGTATTAAAGTAAATATACCGTATTTTCCGCACTCCAAGGCGCACTTAAAAGGCTTTAATTTTCTCAAAAAACGACAGTGCCTTATAATCCGGAGCGCCTCATATATATGGATCAATTGGTTAATCGGTTGATCCATACTGGTTGTACACGGCGCTCAAGGCGCTCTGCCAAACATGACCAAGCTCGTCTACGACGGCGAGATGCTGAGCGGCGCTCAAGTGCATGAGATATGGAGCTTGTTTCAGGGCGCGTCGGAGAAACAAAGCTGTCGTTCTCGCCGAGCACTTCATGAGATTAAAGAGCGAGAGACGGCGTCCTTTTCTCTAGAGAAGCTGAACCATCTTAACGGGGAAAATAAGTTATTCCAAAAGCAGCCGAAGATTTAAGGCGTGGATGGCGAGGGGGCGGCGGGAGTGGACGCACCTCGCGGCATTGATCGGACCCTGAAAGCACCGTCTCCACCTTACTGTCAAAAAGAACAACAGCGAGCGCGTTGAAAACTCCTTCGAGCGCGAGCAGAGATTCTCCTCGCGAGCAACGAAGTTCACGTTTCGCAAGCGAACAAATACCTCGCGGAGACGGACTTTTGCTCGCGTGAGACAGACTTTTGCTCGCGGATGTTTGATTTTGGTTAAATTCTTAAGGTCATTTAATCATTATGTTTTGATCAGATCAACTTCTTTCTAAGAACCTGACCCAGTTTCTTAGTGGACTTAATCCATGACCCAGAGTTCAGACCAGGGAGCAGAGTCGCAGTCTTACACACTTCTCTGCGCTTCAATCTGAGCAGTCACTCAGCATAATGAACCCTATAGAGACCTTGTCTGCCCCACGGACACACTTATCTAAGTTAAAGGTAAACAACCGAGGAGTTGTAGTAAATAACTTAATTAAAGTTAAAACTAATAATGCAATAGTGCAACAAAATAGGAGAATTAAAGGGGGTCTTTTGAATATCAGATCACTGTCATCTAAAGCCGTTTTGGTAAATTAACTAATATCAGATCACCATGTTGATGTATTCGGTCTTACTGAAACGTGGTTGTTGAATGGGGAATATTTCTGTTTAAATGAAGCGACTCCTCCGAGTCATGTTAATACTCATATTCCCCGAGGCACAGGCCGAGGGGGGGAGTGGCAGCTATTTATGACTCCTGCCTTTTAATAAACTTTAAACCTAAAGTGGATTATAACTTATTTGAAAGCCTGGTTTTCAGTCTTTCGCAACCGACCTGGAAAATAATCCAGCCGGTTCTCTTTGTAATAGTGTACAGGGCCCCAGGTCCTTATTCAGAATTTCTTTCTGAATTTTCACAGTTCTTAACGAGTTTGGTCCTTAAAACGGACAAGGTAATTATTGTGGGTGACTTTAACATTCATGTGGATGTCGACAACGACAGCCTTAGTACTGCATTCATTCATTTTATTTTGTATAGCCCATAATCGCAAATTTGCCTCAGAGGGCTTTACAGTCTGTGCACATACAACATCCTCTGCCCCGAAACCCACCATCGGCACAGGAAAAACTCCCCAAAAAATGAACCCTTACAACCCTTACAAGAGGGAAAAAAGGGAAGAAACCTTAGGGAGAACGTCAGGAGGGATCCCACTCCCGGGATGGACAGACTACAATGGATGCCATGTGTACAGAATGAACAATGTATAATACATGCAATTCCTATGACAGAAATGATTCAAGTAATTGTGAGTAGTAAGTCAGGCGCACAGCAGGACCACTGCAGGGGCAACCACCATCAGATAGAACCACCATCACATAGAACCACCATCCACAGAAGCCTGTGGGGAGGGAGAGCACAGAGACTTTAGGAGAGGGTAATGTTGGTTTATGAGTACAGTAATATGATTAATATCTAAAATAATGATGATGATGATGATGATGATGATGATGAAGAGTTCCTTTCATTGTTAGATTCAATTGGTTTCTGTCAGTGTGTAAATAAACCAACTCACTGTTTTAACCACACTCTCGACTTGGTTCTTGTGTATGGGATTGGGATTGAACATTTAGCAATTTTTCCACAGAACCCTCTCCTGTCGGACCATTGTCTGATAACCTTTGAATTTCTACTATCGGAACCACCTCCTCCTGCCAAGGGTTTCTACAGTCGACGCTTATCGGATACCGCTGTAGCCTCATTTAAAGAAGCCATTCCTTCTGCTCTAAGTTCAGTGCCCTGCCTCAAGATACAAGAAGACTCCTGTGAGAACCTCAGTCCATCCCAGATCGATAATTTTGTCGATACTGCTACAGGCTCTTTGAGAGTGGCGCTGGACGCTATTGCTCCTCTGGAAAGAAGAATAGCAACAAGAAGGAAGATCCTTGAGAAATCCGTCGCAAATCAATTATGTGACAAAACAATGCTTTGTTCGAGGATTTCCAGTCAGGATTTCAAGCGCATCACAGTACAGAAACAGCACTGGTGAAAATTACGAATGATCTCCTACTTGCATCGGACCAAGGACTCATCTCTATTCTTGTCTTGCTGGACCTCAGTGCCGCATTTGATACCATAGACCATTGTATCCTGTTGCAGAGACTAGAACATTTAATTGGTATCAAAGGAACTGCACTCAGCTGGTTTAAATCCTACTTATCGGATCGATCCCAGTTTGTGCTTGTAAACGGTGAATCCTCAAAGACCACCAATGTTGGTCACGGAGTCCCACAAGGTTCTGTACTTGGACCGATTTTATTTACCCTCTATATGCTTCCTTTGGGCGATATCAGGAAACACTGCATAAACTTCCATTGTTATGCAGACGATACTCAACTGTATCTGTCGATCAAGCCAGAAGAGACGGTTCAGCTAGTTAGACTTCAAGAATGTCTTGGAGACATCAAAACTTGGATAAACGGCAACTTCCTGATGCTAAACTCAGAAAAAACGGAAGTTATCCTGAGTGCCTTCGAAGCCAGCTGTCACGTGATACAGTTTTTATGGATGGAATTGCTCTGGTACCCAGCAGCACCGTCAGGAATCTGGGAGTTCTCTTCGACCAGGATATGACCTTCAACTCGCATATAAAGAAGACTTCAAGGACTGCCTATTTTCATCTACGTAACATATCAAAAATGAGGAACTTCCTTTCTCAAAGTGATGCAGAAAAATGAGTTCATGCATTTGTTACTTCTAGACTGGACTACTGTAATTCTTTGTTATCAGGCTGCTCTTGTAAATCGCTTAAGCCTCTCCAGTTCATTCAGAATGCTGCAGCACGTGTATTAACAAGAACTAAGAAAAAGGATCATATCACTCCTGTATTAACTTCTCTGCACTTGCTCCCTGTTAAATCAAGAATAGATTTTAAGGTACTTCTCCTCACCTACAAGGCACTTGCTGGTGAGACACCGTCGTATCTTAAAGAGCTTGTAACACCTTATTGCCCTACAAGGCACCTTATTGCCCTACAAGGCAGCTCCATAGATGCTGGGTTACTTGTTGTTCCTGTGGTTTTAAAAAGTAGGCTGGGGGCCAGAGCCTTCAGTTCTCAAGCTCCTCTTTTGTGGAACCAGGTTCCACTTTCAGTCCGGGGGGCAGATTCGGTCAGCTCTTTTAAAGTAAAACTTAAAACTTTCCTCTTTGATTGTGCCTATAGTTAGGGCTGGCTCAGGTTAGCCCAGACCAGCCCTTAGTTAAGCTGCTATAGGCTTAGATTGCCGGGGGACTTCTTAGGACACACCGAGCTCCTCTCTCACGCTCTCGTTCTACCATTCATGGTGCTGCTGCCATCATCATCATCATCATCATTATTATTTTAGATATTAATCATATTACTGTACTCGTAAACCAACATTACACTCTCCTAAAGTCTCTGTGCTCTCCCTCCCCACAAGCTTCTGTGGATGGTGGTTCTATCTGATGGTGGTTCTATGTGATGGTGGTTCTATCTGATGGTGGTTGTCCCTGCAGTGGTCCTGCTGTGCGCCTGGCTTACTACTCACGATTACTTGAATCATTTCTGTCATAGGAATTACATGTATGATACATTGTTCATTCTGTACACATGGCATCCATTGTAGTCTGTCCATCCCGGGAGTGGGATCCCTCCTCTGATGTTCTCCCTAAGGTTTCTTCCCTCTTGGAAGGGTTTTTTCATTTTTTGGGGAGTTTTTCCTGTGCTGATGGTGGGTTTCGGGACAGAGGATGTTGTATGTGTACAGACTGTAAAGCCCTCTGAGGCAAATTTGTAATTTGCGATTTTGGGTTATACAAAATAAAATAAATTGAATTGAACCTACTCCAAACATTTGTGTATCGAATCTCCAGCAATTTGCACATGCAAATTATATAGACACTGACACTGTTGTCATCTTCACTACAGTTTCCTGCAGATGGTAAATGTCCTTTTAATGCGCTAAAAGTTAGCGTCATGGGAAAACGAAATTTTGCCAAGTCTTTTTCAATCTAACTACTGTGCACATGACATAACTGGGGTGAGGTGATGCGACTAATGCACAACAGATAATTGAAAGGAAAGGGTCCCTTAAAAGGGCCGGCTGTGGCACAAGTGTCCATAGTGCCCACAATAAACAATGAAAAGCAATGCGTGACCACGCTCCATTTGTCATTAGAGGGGGAGGTTTAGTCTGTGACTGCTTTTAGAGCACAGATAATTCAAACACTGGCAAAGGTTGATATCACAAGTCTGTAAAGGTTCTTAACCATTACTAATAAAAAAACGAGAGCCACCGAGAGAGAGATGTGTCGGCCGCTGGTGTTTTAAAATTGGAGTTTACACATGTAGCTGATATTTGTAACATATAACATAACATATACATAATTGTCATGTGAAAATAATGATACAAAATATTTAGCAATCATCAATATATCTGTATATCCATCTATCCATGGACAGACCGAGACCGGTTGAAGATCCTCCTTGGGGCACTAACACACCAGTAAATCTGTGTGCAACTTTGTGGCAGGCGTCACAACAACGGGCTGAGTGGGCGCAGCCACATTTTCCGAGAACGGCCGTTGTTTGTAGACAGGTCAGCTGCCGTAAATTAGTTTCAGGATAAACCGGCTAAACCGGAAGTACGTAACTTTTCACAGTAAGAGTGGGATGGAACAATGGAACGTTTGTATGCTAGAAATCAGGCACGCGGTTACCAGGGTAACATTAGAAGAAAAGTTCATTAATGAATATAAATAAATAATCCTGGTCCGATGGGATGTGTTAGCAGGGATGTGTTAGTTGACTACATGCAGATTTGAATTCATCCATGTACACATCGATACTCATTGGTTCACCGTTTGATGTAATATAGTTGATAATGTAGGTAATAATATAGTTTAATCAAAGTGGTCTGTGGTCGCACACTCGTTGCTCTTGGCTCTGATATTTTTTTGTCACGTATTGTGTTGCTTCAGTGAACGCAGAGCCAAGACAGTTTAAACGTCTTCACATGTTCACCAGTAGGTGGCAAAATATGTGTATTTAAACCATCGATTAATTGTATTTAACTGTGTTCATGTTATCTCTCTAGGTCATTACGGATGTATTTAATGCAGTTCAATTCATTTGATGTTTAGGGTTGCAACCATCTTGGTATACATCTTGTCATACATCATTCATTTCATTTAAGAACCAAGCATACCTCTAGGAGGGATTATTTGTTGATCACAATGTAATACATACAGACAAAAAAAATAGATGGTGAACAAAGCGCTCAGAACCAGGAAGTTGCAGAGATGGAATGTGCTTTACCCAGATGTTGGTGTACTGCTGGACAATGCTCTCAATAAATTGCCACAATTTTTCAAGATGGACTCAGTCTTGAAAAAATCGAACCAGGATTATTTATTTATATTCATTAATGAACTTTTCTTCTAATGTCACCCTGGTAACCACATGCATCGCTGACGGATTTCTAGCATACAAACGTTCCATTGGTTTGACTCTTTGGTTTGACTGTGAAAAGTTACGTACCTCCGGTTTTACGGCTACGCTTCGTATTTTCGTTTATTAGGCAAAAACCAAAAAGGGATTAACGGTGTAAAAAGTCGGTCTCGTTTTGGGTTCTAAACAAAAAACAAGTAAGCGGACGCCCACGTCCCTTTTGATTTAAAAGAAAAAAAAAACGAGAAAATTGTGGTATTTCCGTATTCTCGTTTTATGGTTTTTACGGTAAAAGCAGCGATCAAAAGGTACACGGATTCGACCGTCACAGACGTGCCATTGCGTGCCAGTGCCACGAGGAGGATCTATGCCCCGATTGTCGGTCTACTGAATACTACATTATTTTGTATACCAAAAGATGCATGAAGTCACCTCCAGGAGAATCTCTTTAATATCCATTAGTTACATGTTAACGTTACATGTTAGCGGCCCTAGCGGTAACTACGAATAACCGACTCGACGAGCATCTAATAAAAGGGACGTTCCATCAAACGTGTAACGTTTGACTTCACGTTGTTGCTTCAGTACGTGATGGGTAATAAGAGGGGCGTGCAGTACTCACCGATGCTGGGTGTTGATGCGCAGGACGCCGGTGAGTTTGGGCAGAGGACGAGGCACATCCAGCTGGTCCCCGGACCAGGAAACATGACAGTTGCAGAAATATTTGAGATAGTTGTAAATGCCAGAAGCCACGGCCACTCCGGTGCTGCCGGTAGCGATGACCTCGTAGTTCCTGGTGGACCTGAGCTCACACACGTCCAGGCTGTCGTTGGAGAGGCTCCGGTTGACAGACACTATGAACTCCGTGGACCGGGTCCCGAGCAGCCGTTTCAGCAGCTCCACCACCGCTCTGCCTTGAGCTTTGTCGCTGGCTCTCGGTTTGATGTGGTCTAGAGAGGGAAATTTACAGGAGGCAGTGGCAAAGAGACAGAGCACGACGACCAGAAGCGGGCCACGGCTGCTTCCAGGGGACATGTTGAATCTCGGAGTTTCCCACCGTAGTGCGGGTTTAAAAACAACTTTATTTTTCCATTTGCAAGTGACCAGGAAGCGTTGCATTATCTGGCCAATCAGTAGTGTTGTTACCTCCCACCCTCCTGCGTCGAAGCTTGTGTCGAAATATGAACCAGTGCAGGACGAAGCAATTGTATCGGTGCTCGGTTCGTTCGCTGCTGATCACGTGATCAGTGACGTCCGAAGCTTCGTTCCGGCGCACAGTCACGTGACAGCTTCGAATTGATTCAAATGGGCGCGAAACAGGGTTGGGGCTTGTCTGTTTGATACAGTCAAAGTCAGTGTTGTTGTAGTAGTATTAGCAAATTTACAATGGAACCTGTGGCAAAGAGAGGTCGCTCCGAGATGTGGGAGCACTTCAATTTGATTTCCTCTAACAAGGTTTGTAATAGGCAGACAAAGTCTGTCATTTGTATTGTGTAATTATGGATGTTTATTTTTATTGTGGAGACCCCCAGATATTTGGCTGAATCAAACATTCACACAGAAAGATATAGATAAGTGTTTGTTAAACTTCTTTCCAATGTACAGAGAATTGAAATACACAAACAAGGACACAATTCAAACCTGAAAAACAATAGTTTTATTCATATAGGAATCCATGTATTTATTAGATGATTTATTGGTTCAACTTTCCATAATGATGTTCAACCCACAGAGACTGGGCCAAAATATACTGGTGGGCTATTCGATACATTTCAACAGCAGAGGTCATCATAGAGTTTGCGATGCATTGAATGAATGAACCTTTTTCCGATACAATTGGCTGGTTCAGAAAGCTTCACTTTGCCATCACTACCAATCAGAACGTGAGAGCTGCTCCCTCCATCATAACTCACGGCCAATCAGAGGATGCTGTCCCAAAAAGACAAATTCCTCCGAGAAATCAGTTTGTCATGTGGCCATCTTTCACGTGACGGCAATGTTACAGAAGTGCCGTAATTTCAAGTAATTTACAGGTTTAATGACATCTGATCACGTGACGTGATCATGTAAAAGCACAAGGTGGAAACATTTAAACCTGGTGGATAATTGCCCGAATCAAAGCAGGACAAATGGTTTCCCCCGTGTTCAAAAATCAAATCCAGATCAGATCCAAACATTCTTACTTGAGTTGTAGAATAAATGTAACTGAAAATAAATACTTGAATTTTTTTACTTTACTTCTCATAAAAGTACACTTTTACTGAGGTTTAACTGTTATGTTTTCTGCTGCTATGTTAGTAGTTAACATTAGGTAAGGTAATGATTTACATTTACAATAATTGCATTTAAGTACTCATTCTTTTTCCCAATCCTGATTTCTTACACTGGATAAATCATTACAGAGTTCTGAGGGTGCTGTATACATTGTGTTAACACTTGAGCACTTTCATATTAATATATAAATGCAGGACTTCTACACACCATGGAATGTCTTTAAACTGTTAATTCTAATTTAGTTAAGTGAGGGACTTTAATACTGACACCAGTCATAAACATTGATCAATACGGACCATCATTATGGTTCAGTGCTCATTACCATGCCATAGCTTAGCATGTTCTTAAAAAGTTGAAATGTGTGTGTTTTCTTTTAATAAAATAGGCTCAATGAATTATATGAAATTTGAAAATGCCCATCATGTTTGTCATTTACTTTAATGCACTTTTTAAATACTAATTTTTTACTTTAGCTTTTTTCTCTTATTTTATACTAACCCATAGCCTTATTCTACTAACCCATAGCATTAACATTTCATTTTATTTTTTTACTTCCTCTATTACGCATCTCTGTCTTGTCTATTGTTACACTGTCTACTGTCACGCACCAACCGCCAAGTCAAATTCCTTGTATGTATGACATATTCTGGCAATAAATGTTTCCTGATTCCGGAGTGTAGTGAACCATCAGCCGTGTGCCCATTCAACGCATCGTTTCAAGTAAACCAGGTGAACGCAGCTTTAAAAAATCTGGAATGGTATAAAAGAATACATTATTTTACGGTAGAATTACCATGAAATGTTTTAATTCAATGACAATTTAATAGAGCCATCCAGCAGATTACTTCATCTCAACAGGTACAAAACCTGCATGCAAAGTGATGGCCACCCAAGACTCTGTAGCAACACACCACAGTACACTGCTGGGAACAGGGAAATAATACAGAACAATATCAAAGAAACCGCGGTGGGATAAAAGTAATTAAAAATAAATGTTTATTTCAAGTCCAATATCCAAAGATCAAACTTCCAGCAAATGTTGCACATGTGGAAGTAAATACAAAGCTCGCATACAGGTCAAAGGCTGCAGGGAGCTAGAGGAGAGTGTTACACTGAAGACAAACACCATAAACATTAGTTTACTGCAGGTCAAAGTTATTTTTCGCTTTCGCTGACCAAGTTTATGTTTCAGCTTCCATTTGACAATACATAACAAAAGGCATTAGAGGCACAAGGAGCTGAAAAGGTCTCCCATGTTATCAGGTATTTGGTTGATTTTGACCATTTATATCACAGTGAGTTTTCTTGAGGTTTACGGTCTTCTTTCCTTTGGGGCGAGTCTTGTTTTCTAAAAGGAATAAAACGTTCATAGGTTGAGGCTGGTGCAGTAGTGGTGCAGCGGGAATGGCGGGGGCTTTAGAATGTCCTTTAACAGCCCACATTCACAGACTGATGTGTGAAACCTCTAATCGCCAAAGTAAGGAGTGACAGGCACAAAACAATTACTGAAAATCATCACCAAGCATGGAGAAAAAGTGATATAAAAAAGGCATAGGATTCAGCAACGTCGTGAAGTTAATCAAGATTTGACTCAATGATTATCACCAGAGACGAATACATGATCAATGCTTCTCACCGAGTAGTACGACAAACTATGAGGTTTGAACATTCTCCCAAAGGAATCTACTGACTTTACTACTACAAGGAACTTTTATTTTGCGTTGATTCTGGTGCTCCTTGTGGACTAAAGTGGTAGTGCTTCAGTGCCAGCATCCCTTCAGAAAACCTCTCATTTGACTGAGCAGGGTTCTTTGGGGGCGTTTTTCCTTAGTGATGAGAGGGTTTCAGGACAGAGGATGTCACATGTGTACGACTGTAAAGCCCTGTGAGGCAAATTTCTGATTTTGGGCTATACAAAATAAAATTTATTGAAATGACAGTTTGCCACAATCAGTCCTGGTTCAGCCCTCCCTAGCATCCCTTTTGTTACAGCGGGCCCTTCAATAATGCGTGGGGCTCCAGCAGCGTGGTGTCGCTGTTGGCTCCCAGTGGGGAATGGAGGAGGAGCGAGGAGAGACTCTGCTCCAGGAGGAGGAGATGTTGCTGCTGGGAGCTGAGCTCTCCTCCTTGCTCCAGATCTTCAAACTATACCTGTATAGTTAATCTTCTCTGATGGTCTAGTTCACCTATTGAGGTAATTTAGAGGCATCACTACTGATTTCAGTGCTACATTTAGACCATTACAGAACCAGTTAAAAGTTCCTCACATTAAATTGAAGACATTCAATACAACAGTCACAGTCCGACCGCCACAAAACAATATCACACCTCAGAGTCTCTAGAATGCATCACTCAGACTGATTATATTATACTGAATACTTTAATCCAGGCCCAGTGGGTGACAAACATGTGCATGTTGTTGAAATGGATTCAGAGTTGACTCGCATGTAAAAACATGGCTCTAAATGGCACTTTAAAAAAGGGGAACTACACTCACTTGAGGTAAATAACTCATCCTGATAGAGGCGTAGTAGATTCATAAAGTTTGAAATGGCTTTGGGGAGGCCTGAAGAGACAGCTGACTCCAGAGATTTAGTGACTGACAGCCTGAGCGGGTTCCATTGGAGGAGAAGGAGATACTGGACTTGGCTTCTCAGTTTGCATTTCAGCATATACTTGCTGGTTTGTCCCAGATTTTATGCAACAATATTTCATGCCTAGCAAACCCAAGCCCTACTTGAGATGGCTTGTAAACCCCAAAGACACATTTCATCTTCTTATGCATATTAGGATATGTAAAAAAGAATGACAGAATATCCGTTAAAATGATCATTATAAACCAACATTTGTATTCAAAATTCAACTTACAAGGATAAAAACAAAACAAAGTCAGACTTGGGAAAGTGGAAATCAATAAGCACTTATTGACTTCATGAGACACATTTATGGTATCTAGAACCATATCTATGTCTGCGACCAATTAAACATGATGCTTTTAGGCACTGTAGTACCAAAACAGAAGAATGGCTGTAATATAAAATACTATAAAATATACAAAAAGAACCAATAGCAGTAACAAATTTAGAATTACATTTTTAGATCTTGAAAACCAGACTATTTAACCTTTGAAAGCATCAAACAAATCATTCTCTTACGAGTCATTGAGTTCACATGATGGATTCGTCCTCTTGGCTTGGTCGAGGGGACCTCAGACTACCAACTCAGCTGGCTGAGGGATGACTCCCCGCCACGCTGTGCATGAGCACGTTACAGAAAACATGCTGGGGCTCCTACTTAAAGCTGCTGCTGTGTCACCTCGCATCCGACTAGCTTAGCTGCGCTTTTGAAAAGGGTTCATCTAACAGAATCTGCTGAGTCTGCTCAGCTAATCCCGACTGCTGTGTCAATATAACCATAATTATGGAGAACTCAGCATAAATCTGCTGGACACTCTTTAATCTCAGAAAAGGGTAGGTGATGAAATTGGTTTTAGTGAATTTACGGTTCAGCCCAGTTGATTTCTCTCGTACCACTGAAACAACATCTAGTGGTTTTCCATAGTCACAAAATGTATCAGTGTATTTTTAATATACATGTAAACAAAGTTCCTCTCTACAGTCAGTGTTACTCATCAAAACAGTGCATGCATACTTTAGACCTAACTAAGGTTTCCTGAGCATTTCCTCATAAAACATCTGCAGATTTCTTGTAGACCTGCATAGTTCACATGTTTGTTTACTAGCTGGCCATGACCGCAATTATCTTCTTTCCTTCCTTTGCCAGAGCATCAGTACGTTTCTGTGATCAGCACAGAAGTAATACCACATTGACACATTTGTGCATTGTGTTGTCCTTAATGGGGAATCGTGGGAGATACTGGTTGCACCAATTACCTGATTACCATTAGCAAAAGTTACATTTTGGCCGGTTTGAGTTAAGCCTCCATAGGACACAGCAGCTTGGTTTTTATTCTGGTATGAAGGTTAAAGCCACAGCTAAGCTAATGACAGAGCAAGAGCGCCAATGTACCACATGTTTGTCGCTTCCTGAGGTTTCTCAGCTCACCTAACAAGGATGTTCTAAGGCAACTGGAGAATCCTTGGAAATGAAAGCAAGTACAACTTCCTTTAAATACCACGTGTGGTGACAGAAGCTAAAAAAAAGTTACATAGTCTTACTTAGTTACTTACATTTGTGTTGGGAATAAAATACTAATAATTTCCATTACATTTTTCAGCATTTCAGTTGGTGGGTGTCTGTTAGGTAAGTTGTATAAGGGGACCTGAAGGTGTTGGGCACTTTCAGGACTGCTGACTGCTCCACTGGTTCGCCATCGGCCTGCGGAGAAGCTCCTCCACATGGCGAGCCACGTCCATCGTGTCATCCAGGTCAAAATCTCCATCTGGGTCCAAAATAGTGTCACTCCTGACAGGACAACAGCAGAGACAGGGGCCACACTTTTATGAAGGAGGTTCGTAGGGAACATGCATATTTTATTTGTTTACGTTCTATAACCTACTTCACTACTATCATCTAGATGCAGCGGTCTGTCAGAGTACAGTCAAAATAACACAAATCATTTAAAAACCAGAACCCTCTGCATTAAACCAACGTTAGTCATACTATTTAAACTGCTCAAATAATGGGTTGAACTTTTTAACAGACAGACCATTTAACCATCCAGCATTACCAACCAACCAACATAATTATTTCGAGCACTTTTTTTCTCACATGGAGACTCTTGATATCATATATATATATATATATATATATATATATATATATATATATATATAAAGTATTCTCAGTGAATTAAACGGATCCTTTTCAGTATAGCGTTTCCAGCGCCTCACAGTGAGTACTGGATGTAAAAGAGATTGCTTACATAGAAGGGAAGACACCAAAGTTGTTGGGGAGGCTCACAGAGGGAGAAGCCGTTTGGTCCATGAAGGTAGGAGCTCCTCCACTGGGTTCAGGGTTTGGGGTGGTGAATCTACCAGAGACATGTGCCACATGTTATTACAGCAATTCAAATATGCACAAGCCTCACCACTTACAGTAATAACATTACACAAAAAAAAATCATCAGCAATGCAAACATTGCCAATAGCGGAGGTAAAAACTACTTGAGCATAAAGCTTGCAACAGGACATAACGTGAAAGGGGGGAGGGGACCCGACTACTTCCTAAATGCGCTGCCCTCATTGCCGCTGCATTGTCTTTGGGGAGTCAATTCCATATTAAACTTTAGGAACTTGTTCAGTATGTTTGAGTCATTTGAAAAGAGGGGAAAAAAAACACTTACTCTGGCACAACTTGTTTGATCTGCGGTTTTACATATCCGTCCACTGCTTTTGCTGCAAGAGAGACACACTGGCTTCAAATACAACTTCGATAAATTGTACTGTGCATCCATATGCTGAGCTCACTCATGTATGTTTATAGGTTTCTATAAGCCTGCAAAACACCAGTTAAAATGAAAATAAGTTAATGGTGCGCTCGACTTCTCACAGCGGAGGTCTACATGATCCATTTTGCATTCATTAATGTAAAAAATTAAATAAATAGTTATCTTTTGCATATGCATTTGGCTCAGAGCAATGATGTTTGATGGGACAAGGAACCGGGATCTGTGTTGCTGACACTTACAAAGCGGGGGGGTGTAGTACTTGGCGAAGACTTCGTCTTTGGGCCGGTCCGGGTAGAGAAACAGTAGGTGGTTCAGGTCACTGATGCGGTCAGCCAACGATCGAATAGAGAAGTCCTTAGTTGTATAAGGCAACAGGTTCCAGACCAGCCTTTCACCTAGCCACAGACAAACGGTTAACATGACACTGTTGTACAGATTAACATACACAGCCTTCGTCATGCAAGTATGAATAACTGCACAGACAGCACTTTGGTACCTGGTTTGTTGGGGTTCTCAGCTACCCAGGCGATGGTGATGCCTCCAATCTCAGAGTCGCTGAATCTCAGCAGGAAGGTGCCGTTGGGTTTGGACAGCAGCATGTCCTGTGCTTGCTGCTTATTAACAAAGCCCAGGATGGCTCTGGAAACACAGTCAGGTTTTTGAGCTTGGAAGCCATTCTTTAAAATAGACAAAATATATATATTAAATAAAGAAGCTTTAAGAAAAGAGTAGCTCCTTATCGCTGCTTGAGGTCAGAGGCAACATTTGGCACCCAAAGCGTAGGACATCTGCAACTGCCAGGGGTTATGGTAGCTGAGGTAGCCTCCAGCTTTTGACAGTGAAGGTGATTGAGAAAATATAAAAGCAGCAACGGATGAACTTCTCACTTGGTGTAGAGGACTTGAGCTCCTGGTGATGTTAAAAGGTGTTGAACCATGAACACTAGGAGAGGACTGATTCCCGATTCACAGGCTGCCTTAAGCTACTCTTTTATTCTGGAGAAGCCTCCTCTCCCTTCTCCTGGAGTTTAACCAACCCTGGCGCCCCCTCTCTTAAACTTAGATGTCAACAGTGCTAAAAGAGGCAGATAAATTCCATACCCATCATTCCAGTGAGGTTTCAGATGTTTCTTCATGAGCTCCACAACTCCATCAAACCACTGCCAGAAGGTAAAGTTTCGTCCAGGTAAGCTCTCCTATGAAAATCAAACATGTTCAATTCAGTATTTTTACATGCATACAAGCAGGAAGGTCACTGGTTGCTTTTGATCGCTCTGTGTGCGTCTGCATGTACTGCTGCGGCTCCTGCGTATGCGTAGCCTGTCCGCAACTCTCAACATAAAGCACTTTTCTAGTCTTTCGACGACTCCAATAGTTTTGACACAACATTTCATCATTCACACAGTCCCACACATTGATACATTAATGACAGATAACTTATCAGCAGGCAAGGCCCACTTGAGCCATCCGGAGTTAAGTGTCTCGGACAACGACACACAGACATGGATCGGCGGAAATGGGAATTGAGCCGTCAAGCCTCTAATTGAAGGATGACCCTGCTCTCCACTAAGCCACAGTCACCCCAAAAACCATGAGCTACAGTACTAGTTCCGAGGCCTTCCCCTCTTAATTTTAATGTAAATCCCAGTTTGGCTGTGGTAAAAAAGGTATAACAAACATAATAGTGATATATTTTTAAAGATAAGCACATAAGCTAGACATTGCAAAATAAGTTTAAAAAAATTGTATAATCATGTTTTGATTGTAGTGTCCCTTATATGTTGGAATACAGTACCTTAGTATCATCACAAAAAACAAAGTCCTACAGCGATATTGGTATTAGGTCAAAGTTCCAGCCCCTAGCACATGTGTTCCAGCATTTTGAATGTACAGCGAAGGACCGGAACTGCAGTGAATGCACGGCAGTTTCCTAGGTGCATATGTGTCATAATTATACATGCAGTTGTTGAGCTGTGGAAAGGAGCTGGCCTCACCCGGTTGAACTGGGCCCAGGATATGGTCATGTTTCGGGAGTCCTCAGGGTTGTTGCTGCTGTTAGTGAAAGCTTTTTGTGCCAGGAAGACCATGTTGTCCTCCGACAGGCCACGCCCACTGTGCATCTCTGCCTTGTACTTCGTATCAAGGGTGTCACACAGCTGGGGCCACAGCACCTTGTCTGGCACAATAAATGGCACTCTGCCCTGAGGATGGTAAATGGTAAATGTTAAGTGGACTGTATTTGTATTTCTCTATACCAGTCTCAAAGAGCATTTACACTGCATAATCATTCATACCCAATTCATACACAGGCAGCTCAGCCTGACAAAGAAATTTGGTATATGTGTTGCCAATCCTCTGATTGAAGGACGACCCCGCTGTAACCAGAGGTGTCAAAAGCATTCACATTCATTACTCAAGTAGAAGTACAGATACTAGGGTTTACAAAGACTCCCATAGAAGTTGAAGTACCAACTCAAGCTTTTTACTTAAGTAAAAGTATAAAAGTACTGGTTTCAAAACTACTTAAAGTATAAAAGTAAAAGTAGTGTAAGAAATTCCATTAAGGACAAACTCTTAATGTGTAACCTCGCTCACACAACACGTCAGTCCGTTACAATGTGATCAGAAGGTGCCTGCAGATCACGTGACCTGCCGTTGGGATGATGGAAACATGGCAACATTCAGAGACACAACACCAACACAACAAATGTATCTGACATAAACCGATAAAACCACAACCCATTTTCCAGTGACACGAGTCAGAGGACGGACACACACGTCCGTCCCCTGACCTGGTGTTGTGAACAAAAATGTCTTTTTGTTCGCATTGATTGGGTAGACTGCAGTGTCTCCCCCAGGTTTACTACGCCATGGGGGGCGGTGGGCGCACCCCTGTTTATAATGATGGGAAACACTGAACTGGCAGCGGTCGGTTATCAAAACATTGGCCAAATAACCAGTATTTTCAGGCTTCAAGAGCAAATACAGAATCCCTTTGTGTTCATTTCCAAAGCCGCATTCAGACACACGTCACTTTATTTAATACGCTGCACTACTTGCAAGTCGCTGTGTTGTGCCAGACTCTCAATAAAACATTTAGTACAAACCCATGATCATGAAGATACTCATTTAATGTTATATAGAATCTGCATGAGGAAAAGGAGGAGGGTCCATTTCGCTAAATACCAACTTTCCACCGACCACTTTTCCCACCCGGTGTCGCTCCGATCTGCCGGCGCATCGCGGAGAAAACCAATCGGGTGTCTGGATGCTAAATGTTTATACTTCTCATCCAACCACAATCACATTCACTGTCCGGATAGCACCATTTATCTAGATGTTTTTTTTTTTTTGTCTTTGTGTTTTTGAATTACAACAAGCCGGAAGTAACAAGACTGTTTTTAAAATGTAAGGAGTGGAAGTACAGATATTTCCGGGGAAAATGTAAGGAGTAGAAGTAAAAAGTCACGTGAAAAAGAAAGACTCCAGTAAAGTATAGATACCCAAAATTTATACTTAAGTACAGTAAAAAGTAAAGTATTTGTACTTCGTTACTTGGCTGTAACACTGGGCCACAACGAAGAGAAAAAAGCAGTTCAGATCCTAATTTCCTTTTTTCCAGGCGTCTCTCACCATATACGTCAGGACCAAGTATTTGGACTGTGTACACAACTCCAAATGATTTGAACTGAAGAAGTCAGTATTTGGTTGTGAGCGTAACCAAATATGTTCAGGATACAGTTAAGGGGAACAAAGTCTAACTGTAATTGTTGGCATTTCAAAACCTTCAAAACCACATTTTCAAGATGATGACATGATGTGACATGCTGAAGTATCAAAAGGTCATCGAAGGAAACCGACCCTCCATCAGTAGCCAACTCACCAGCTCAGCAAAGGCATTGTCCCACAGGACAGTGGCTGTGGCGTTGTTGTCCTGACTGCCGTGGACGATCACTACCACGGGCAGCGATAAGGTCTGCAGGTTACAGACCAGGGAGGGTGACAGAGTTAATAATATTCTTCCAAGGCAACATTTCATAGACATTTAATTAAACGACGCGGTGTTGATTAAGTCAGTAGACAATGGCCAAGGAGCCCAGCTGACCAATCAATAACCGAGCAAGATACCCAGAAAGGCCCAAAGTCCTCTGTGATTACTTTGACATGGAAGACTAGCTCGTTGCCCCCGACGCTGAATTGGGATTCGAACAGAACGGTGAACTTCTCCTCCGTCACAGACTCAGCACCTCGCCGGTCTGACCGCTTGATCCGCTTTAATGACTGCATGAAGACATGAGGAGATTAGACATCTTTATTACAATCAACACAGCAACTGTATGTATGTGACCCCTGGAGAGTAGCTGGGCATCAGGCTCAAATTGACATGTTTGACTAGCTCAGAGGAATAAGATATAGCTGGCTACAGAACTACAAAAACACCATCTCCATCTTTCATTCTCTTTTATATTTTACTCTATTATTTCTAACATGTTAAGAGTAAGTACTTCTTGACAATCTGCATACATTAATTCCTGCATAAATGCACTTAACTTTTAAGTAACTTTTTTTAGTGCCTCCTCCAGATTCCAACCACACAGCTGCAGACTTATGAACTTCACTGGCTTCACAAGTTTACATGATAGTCACTGATAGATATTCAATGAAAGTGTGGAGAATTTGAGAATAGAATGTGGTGTGTTGGTAGATGGTAGATGTTTTTTCAACAAATTACCAGCAATGTGTAACTTACACTTAACCAGTAGAGCTTACCATGCTTCTGAAGTGTGCACTGAGGGTGCCAGTTGCCTGCTGATACTCCATTACACAGTTGTTGTTCAGGATTTCTCCACTACTTTCACTACCAAGGAATAGGAAGAAGTTAGACACATTCTTGTTGACATACCTGGAAACATCTTCAACAAGACACATAACTGTTGATGTCACAAACAACCAATCATAGAACTGTTTCTTTTTGTTTGGTAACTGCTGAATAATCAATTAATGAATTGTCTTTTCATACCTACCAAAACTACCCGTTTTAAGTCAACCATTATCCAAGCCTTTTATCAGTTCAGAGCCAATAATACGTTTTACCAGTGCATTCATATTCATCACCTGTGTGTGCTCTCATTCTTCAGCAGAGCTTTGGCCTGCTGCTCGCTAACAATGACAGCCTTGACCTGAGGGGGATTCATGTGGACGTTAAGCTTCCCGCCCACCAGGAGGCGCACCGTGGCTGCAAACTTGGTCTGGGTCTTCAAGACCTGGGGCGGCTGCTTTTCAATGATAAAGGTACTGGAGAGAAGGGGGATGACACAATGGGTTGGTCTACAGATTATTTCCATGAGCAGAAGAAGAACACACACACACACGATACTCTCTATACTTGCGTGAATACAAAGATATGTACACATGATAGCAAGAAGAAGCCATCTCCAAGTCCACAAAGCACATACAAACCAGAAACTGACCTCAAAAATAATAAAACTGCTTTACTGCGCAATGGGCAGGAAACAATCTGCAGTTGATCCCTTTAATATGAGGGTCAACAATTGGTCAGTTTACAGCATTGCAAAAACTTTCCAGTAGAACAACAGTAACACTATAGTGACTAAGCTACACCTCTGGTGAACAGAGACAAGGGCATGCAGATGGCAAGTAGCTAGGGGCAAAAAAACGGCATTGCACAAGAACTAAGCTGCCAGCTGAATGGAACACTTAAGGTTGTGATGTAGTATAACACCACGGAAGTTCACTTCCAATATTTTTGCAAAAATGTGAAAAGGTATTAAGTTCATTTTTTGAGTTAAGGAATTGCTACTTTAAAACAGAAAGTGATGTTTGGGCAAGCCCGGGACAGAAGGGGAACAAGAAGGGAAACAAATAAAATATTCAGTAATTGTGCAATGTAATGTTTTTTAGAACCTTGACTGTCCACAGGGACTGTCCACTACCTCCAGACTACACTGAGAAGACGACTTCTAGTGCTCACCTAGTAACTAGGGCAGAGATGATGTCGGTGATGTCGGCATTGAGTTTGCTCAGCAGCTCCTCCATGGGGCCTGGCAGAGGAAGCTGCTTGGTGAGATGCTCACAGCGTCGAATTTGCTGCCGGTTCTGCCAGATTAGGTCAGCTAGCTTCTCACACCTGGTGGACAGAGGATGCACCGGCAGTGTAGAAGCAAAAGGGAAGAGGGAAAAAAAAAAAAAAGAGGCTGGGTTTCTTTGTGTGAGGGTTTTTAGGTTCATGCTTTTTATAGACATAGTTTATGTAAAAAAAAAAGAAAAAGAGGGAGGTAAAGCTCTCTGCTATGATTGGGACAGGCCAGTACATACCAGGACTGCAAGACATCCAGTCCCCCTTCATGAGGACCCCCGTTGCCAGCCAGTTGCTGCCTCCTCTTCCACTGGATGAGCTCCTCCTCCAGGATCAGAGTCTGCTGTTTCCTCAGCAGGGACAGGGTCTTCTGGTGTTGTTCTGACAGGTCCTGCAAACCACCATCCACATGCTAGGCAACTAATGCTTTTGTGGCATGCTGGAGCAAACTCACAAAGAAAGGATTGCATCCGCCCAGAACACTGTGAATTGTGCATCACTGTGCAAGCTCGCATTCGTCAAAGATGTTTCTCTCATGATCTTACGGCGCCAAGAGCCAAAAAGGACAAAGTGAAAGAAAAAGGACACTGACGGCAAGGGTTCGAGGCATTTTTCAAAACTTCAGGAAGGACTTTGAGAAACAGAGAAGCAAACCCTATTAGGGATTCAATATCTGTCAGTTAGTGTTTCCCCTATCATTATAATAGGGGACACCCCCCGATAAAGTGTACAATAAATATATATATTTTTCCAAATGTTAACATTCGGATAATTTTTTTCAATTTTTTATTGACAGGAGCCTTGTAGATTCCTTTCCAGATTGTGTTATGGCTGTGTGTGTGTGTGCGTGTGCGTCTCTTCATACAAGCCTGTATTTCTGTAATGTGCTGGCCTCTCTGGTGAGCCAGGCATCCACCGTGGTCCTCTTACTCTGTAGGGTGGTCTCCCGCTGGGTGCGCTCAGCTTGAGGCAGCGACGACAGGCTGCTCAGCTGGGCTAACAGAGCAGGAAGCAGGAGACAGGCACCACATTACTAACACCCACTACCACCAAAAATAAAGACGCTGTTCACTTCTGGCTGCGGGTTGATGACTAGAAAGAGACTCAAACTGCGGAGGTTTAAACTGCGAGATACATTACTAAAGTCACATCTTAGGTTGGCTTTCTTTCTTTGATTTTAAGGGGAAATTTTTACTTTTCCATAACCTTTTTCTTATAAAAGTGACTAATCACCACAAATGAAGAATAGGGATGTGTGCCTAGAAAAAACGGTTTACTTCTACAGGGTTTTTTTCTCCACGTAGTTCACCATATTGCAACAGCAGCCCAGGATAGAGTGACCCAACACGGACTCTGCCGTTTGGCCTTTAAAGTCATCTGAAGGTAGGAATGCATTTTTAAACATGTTTACACAAGGACTGTATGATTGATCTTCTGAGAGGACAGAAGGATATTTTTCACCCTTTATAAACAACAATTCAAAAATGTTATTCATTGTATGGACATTTTACATCTGGTTCAAATACATCAATCATTCTATATGGAGACTAAATCATTCTAAATAACTAATTCTGTTCTGAGTTTGTGTTCTTTAAATCTTACATCTATACATCTTTTATTAAACCCCAACTTAGTCACAAAGAAGAATTGAGTGTTGATAGGAGTAGATAGGAGTAGCTCCTACTAAAAGATACCTCTCCCTCCCTGTAGGTAGACTGGCTGAGCTGGTTCTGATCGGCCTCAAACCTCTAGGTGCATTCAAAACGGACACATTGTCCCTTTAAGATTACAGGTGTACCTTTAGTACCGTGTGTGTGAGTCTCATCCTCACCCTGGATGCGCAGGTTCTCCTGGTACTGGATGATGAAGTACTCCTGGCTGTGCTGCAGCTTTCTCAGTTCATTCTCCGTCTCCTGTGTGGCCAGGCGGAGCTCTTCAAAGGACTGGTTTATCTGCTGGTGGCGCTGCGACAGGCTGTCCATAGCCTGCACCCCACTCCCACAGCTGGCCTGAACACAGAGCATTTCAAAAACTTAAACCAACAATAATAATGCCCAGCAGCATATCTCCATCCTCTTACAGGCGTCTCCACCCAGCCACACCGTGGAGAATGTTGTGCACGGTCACAGGATTCCTGCAGATGACTACACGTCAACAGACCCTTTAACACTTACATCGGTAGCTTCTTGAACCAGCCGTTGCTCTGAGTGGAGGATGTGTTTAATGCAGCGCACCAGCTCCAAAGGACAGCGGTCGTAAGTGCTCTGCAGATATACCACACACATCAAGGATTAATACGATTGAGTTTTACCATACCAACATTTTGTCCAATGTCACAGCGAGAGCTCCTTGTGGCTCTTTTAAGCAACAATGTGAAAATAAACTTCTTTAGTGCGCATATATAACCTGAAGCAGAGATTCCAAAACTGTAAATCATGGGCCGGCACAGAAATAACAATATTCAATAGAAGGATTAGACTGATAGGGAAGCTTGATCATTTTCTTGAAAAACATTGACAGCAATCAATGAAATAAAAACTCCACCTGTAGCTGGGACTGCAAGAAGTCCATCCAATCATGACACCTGTGAGTGCTCGCAGGCACATTTGTTGTTTACGTTTGTTATGGTCATTTGTGGGCAGTGGATTTGGAGGCAGGTCAGACAGAACAGACTGTCAGTGTTACTGCGTTAGCAACACTCTTGGTAGATGTAGTGGCCATTGGAGTTGGAACTGTTAGCTACTTAGAATAAAGTTGGTGACACTGAGCTGTCTTTTTAGGTTGGTTCAAAAAAAAAAAAAAAAAAAAATCGAATCTACTCTTGCTAGTTTGTGATTACAAACTACATTTAAAAAGGATTTGGATTATTATTATTATTATTATAGACTATTACAGGAAAATAAATACCTTGATAGCGGCCCGGTGCATTGAAAGGGGTAGGCTGCAAGTGACAGCTGGTCTGAAGAAATTATATAACTGAGGGTTAAAGTTATTCATAATATTTCGGTGAAATGTTCCAAGTTACCAGTACCTGCCATTATGTACTGACTTTATGACAGCTAAACGTCCCTGGGCAAAGAGGTATACCATTATACTAACTACCTTCAGTAGGCCAAAAGTTTCAATCGCTTTGTTTCAGACTTGTTCTCCCTCATTTTAGGAGCAGCTGGCCGGTACCTTTATCTGGTTGGCATAGTGACCCAGCTTGATCTTGAGCAGGAAGCCATCCTCTCCTCCCTGGAGCTGGGCTTTCTTCTGCAGCTCGCCTACCAGGTTTTCCAGCAGACGCTTGGCTTTGGCTTCCTCTGCCGGGTTGTCCAACTCCACCGAATCCCTGTAAGATCACAGCTTTCAATTTTCACCAATATATTTAGAGCTAAGTGTTGCTTCATTAAGCTGTTGAGGGCTAGTTTGGCTAGTTTCTTTCTCTTTTGTTCATTAGTCAATACATGCCTGTCAGGGCTCTAAATACCAACATGGGTTTGCTAGGATACCTAAATTATGTGCGCATTCTTTGTTGTCAGTGCACTGTGTCATGAAACTTCGACTGCATTGAAATTAAAGCTGCAGCTAGTGATCCTTTTAGTAATCAAATATTTCATAATCAGAATTATGTTTTCATTACGGGAGCAACTGTTAATCCTTATCTAAAAAAAAAAAATCTGAGTCAACTTAAAATGAACAGTACATAGTTATCTTTTTAGAAAATCAATCAATATTTGTCATGCTTACTTTTTATACAATAACTGAACCCAATTGCGCATTTAAGTGCTATATTACATTTAAAATAAAACATTTTCAAAAATGCAAAGAGAAATTACCAATAATAATCGTTGTTAAAATCAGGTAAACATTCTGGTACGATTATAAAACCCTATGTTATATTTTGATATACATTGTACGTATATGACAAAATCTACAGATCAAAGTCTTTACCAGAGCTGGCATTCAATCCACTGGGCCAGGTAGTGGCGCACCTCAATGGGGAAGTGCTGGCCGTACAGAGCCTGCATCTGGTGCAATGCCTCACCCTGCAGCTGCTGGGCCTGGATCCACATTGCCATGGTGCTCCTGAGCGGGGCAGTTGCCAGGAGAAAGGGCAAGGGAAGAGGGCAGGGATCGTATGAAAGAGTAAAAAGGAGGATGACCACGAAGTAGTGATTCCCTCAATACCCTGTATTGTGAGGTAGCTGCGAACAATTTCTTTGGATAGCTCACCAAATCAAAATCATTTGAGAATGTACAAAAATACTTTTGTCAACCAATTATCAACTCAAGTTCAATAAATCTCCATGGCTTGACGGCTTCACCTTAGAATTCTATCTTGCTTTCTCTAACCCTAATCCTTTTGACGAATATTTTTCTTGTTTTCTCCTAAATACACAAACAAGGAAACAAAACAAATCAAAAACAAGGCACATCTGAAAGTACATATGAGCAGGTATAAATATCAGTGGCATGATTTTTGGTTTGGCGTTACTGACTGTTTCTCAGCAGACATTCAAAAAAAATATGCTGATGTGTGCAGTCACAGATACTTATTATACCCCGACTTATTATACCCTAGAATGCACTCTAAACGGTATAGGCTACATGGTTGCAACAAAGACTTCTCTGTTCAGGAACTTCATAAATGAGCTCCAAATCTTTGCAAAGATGTATACATTTCCCTTTAGCTATATATGTAAGTGTATCTAGGGTGAGGCACTGTAGAAGTCACTCTATCCAATGTTGTTTGCTCGGTCTGTGAATGGATTTCCAAGATTGTTAAGCATGTCAAAGAACACACTAAAGGCTCTTTTATTTTAAGATCAAAGATGGCCTGGTTTACTTTTTTAATGTACACATGTTAGACCTTTACTTTCGAGAATTAGTATATTAAAATATACGTCTGTAAATGTGTAGTCATGAAAGTCTTGTACGCAAATGCACGCCTTTGTCTGGAATTATTGGGGAAAGTATTTTTAATACAGTTAAAATATTAAGAAATTATGTTTTTGAACATATACTTATGGGGGTGCTATTTTCGAGAAATCTCAGCATCCTAGTAGTCAAGAAGGTCCTTAACACATATCTTCGTGTGTCTTTGTCTAGAACTATTTGGAAATTGCAGTTAAAGCGAAATTGTCTTCTTGAACCTACAAATATGGGACTTCTACTTTGGATAATTCTCTAAATCTCGACAGTAAAAAGAATTCATTTTTCGTACAATAGTAGTCAGAGAGGTCCTTAACACATTTAACACATGTATGTTAGTCTTTGACTGGAATTATTGAGAAAATCATTTTTATTGCAGTTAAAATATTGAGAAATGGTCCTTTTGAATTTTGAAATAGTAAAAGTAGTAAAAGAATTATGTACAGTAAAAGTAGTCAGAATGGTCCTGAACACACATACTTCAGTCATTGTCCAGAATCTGATTAAATAGCGTTTAATCCGGTTACTTGTTGAATACCGTAAATGTCAGCATATAAGTGCACTCCAATTCAAGTGCCTGCCGAGTTGACCACGGAAATACGTGTCTGCCGAGTTGACCGCAGTAATGTGGCCCCTCCCCGGTTGACATCTCCACTGTCGACGCTTTGACACGGACAGCGCGGAGCTTCTGTGCGGGCGTCCGCACGCTGCGCCTCACGTGTCGGCAACTGTCACAATTCAAATCTCAACGGAACGCCTTCATTACACAGTCCTCTGTGTAAATTATGATATGATCTAAAGCTCCACAAGAGGAAAGGACTCATTGGTCCGTAGGAGGAAAGCTCGCTCTCAAAAAGTTTAAGAGATAGCTTAGCTTGCTAACAGTACCGTACATTGAGGTCGGCTCGTTGGCGACCATTATACACAGCAAACCTGCAAATGGCGACCTCCGACTTTGGCTAAACAGATGTTTAACTGCGGACAGTTAGATGCTGTGTGGGAAGGTGTTGAATTTACGTCACGTTTGTTTGGTGAACAAGACAGCGTTACTAGTTAGCCATGGTAAGCTAGTCTTCAAGTTAGCGCAGTGGGGAAAGTTCATCGATGAAGTGACGTTACGCCGCAGCGCTCGCGCAAAGCTTCACTTTCAAGCGCCACGAGTAAATTAATAGTTAACGTAAGTAACGTCCGAACTCACCTGTTCAGACCCGCACCATGGACGAGCAGCGGACACACTCCAACAAGTTTCAGACCTCACACGGGTGGTTGACGTACACGTCACATCGCCATCCAACGTTTAGATTCTGGCAAAGCAGCTGTTGTTGTTGACCAGCATCAAGTCAACAACAGAAATCGAAAGACCACTTCCGATTTTAAATTTCAAAATAAAGTTATTTTTTTTTACTTCTAACCATATGATCATGACATCTTGCGTGAAGGACTTCTTCAGTTGACACATGCCTGCATCTACTGCCTGCGGTCTTATTTAAGTTATCCCTGGTCTTCTGTCTGGTCTTATTTAAGTTATCATTGGTCTTCTGTCTGGTCTTAACTAAGTTATCCCTGGTCTTCTGTCTGGTCTTATTTAAGTTATCATTGGTCTTCTGTCTGGTCTCATCTAAGTTATCATTGGTCTTCTGTCTGGTCTTATCTAAGTTATCCCTGGTCTTCTGTCTGGTCTTATTTAAGTTATCCCTGGTCTTCTGTCTGGTCTCATCTAAGTTATCCCTGGTCTTCTGTCTGGTCTCATCTAAGTTATCCCTGGTCTTCTGTCTGGTCTCATCTAAGTTATCCTTGGTCTTCTGCCGGTTTTCTTCTCCTTTGTCAACTGCCTTGTCCTCTCCAGGTTGTCTATTTTGTTTGTTATATTGCTTATTTTACTTTGCAGTGGTATTTGCATCTGGTGACCCTGATCTTGTTGACTATACATATCATCTTCCATGATTGAGAAATATGCTCAAATAGAAAACACGATGAAAGAAAAGATAAACAGACAAATTAAATGTCATAATGTTTTACAGCATATTGTCTTAGATCTAACAGGTTTACTGCAATCAATATGGTTTGTTTGGGCGCATCCCTTTACTCTTTCCGCTAACGTAAAAAACACAGACATTGTGAACCAAATAGCATTTATTAATTCAATCATTAGTGGTTAAGCAAGGAAACATACAGGAATCTGTTACCAACAAAACACAAACAAGGAAACATTTGAGTGTTAACTAGATATGGTCTGTTGACATTAAGGCGTCAGCACACCAGAAGGTTGTCACTGCTCTGACTGTCTTGGCTTTGTTGATTCACAATGAAGGGCTTAGTATTCAACAGCTGAACACATTCTCTATCAAATTGTATAAAAGGGCCAGAATATGAATTTGTTGCATTGTGAAATCTGGGCAGACATCACAATGTTTTGGCCCGAGAAGCTGTTTTCCTAAACGCAAAAGAAGCACAGACAGCAGAAGGTTCTCTGGTAAATGAAATCAAAATGTCCAAAATGTCCTGTCCTTGCCCCGAAATGGTGGAACGAGCTCTCTGAAGACACCAGGACCGCTGAGAGCTTCCGCCGCAAACTAAAGACACACCTCTTCAAACTCTATCTCGACTAAAAGACCAACAAATTTTAGCACTTAAATTGTACTTAGAGTGAACGCCACTCATCTATAGCAAATTGTAAATTGGCTTATTTGAGGAAATTGAACTTTCTTGTTTCTTGTTCTTCTGAGTTTGTATCCCTATGGTTGAATGCACTTGTAAGTCGCTTTGGATAAAAGCCTCAGCTAAATGACATGTAATGTAATGTAAAACGTATTATGATGTGATTGGCAGTGATTCACATTATGTACAAAAAACAAATACACTGTGATGTGTTTGAGCTAAGAACTAAACTTTTACTAAATATTGTGGTAAGTAACGTGGTAAAATTGTGAAGTAAAAATTACAAATTGACTTTTGATTCACAGAAGTGTCTGCCCCTATGTTACCTCTTCACTGACCTTCTCAGAGTGTGCCACCCTTCAGCTAAAAGTGTGCCGCCTCAGGTTCTAGTTCCTGCTAAGGATTAGAGCATAGGTGAAAATGTATTTAAAAAGGAATTAGCAATTGATTATCTCTTGATTTAATTATTGAAACGCAGTCATGAAAAGGCCACTAGTAAAATTGAGAATATATAAACACATTTATGAAAGCCTTATCACACACAAAGTAAGTGTGGACAGTAGAAGAATGTGGCGCAATGCACCTTTAATATGAAGCAAAGGGAATCACAGCGGGATGACTGGACACTAGGAGTCAGTGTCAGACCCTTTTGAAACCTACGCTGGTTCTACCAGAGGTGTGTGAGAACTTGCCCAAAGCATTGGTCCTAATCTCAGTTCATGTATGAAACACATCTTAGAAGGACACAGAGCGTGTTGTAGGAAGGGAATAATCAAAGTGAAATGCACTAGATCTTTGGAGGAACCATCTCTGCCTTATGTTTTGAAGATTATCATTTTCATGGGCAATGACAATTCTTTAGCAGTAAAGTGTTGCGTAACAGCATTGCATGCAACAAGATATGATAAAATTAATACTACTAAGGTACATTCAGCCAAGTGTAAATTATAAGTACATACAAGTCATAAACAAATATCTAACCGCTAGCTCATCATAGAAATGACAGACACGATAATTTCATAATCAGTAAGTTAGGCAGAATAGGATAACACTTCACTATTTAAACAGCAGAAAAATAAACAGGGTGGAAGGAATATATATGTGGTATGCAGTATGAAATACATTTCAGAATTTTAAGCACAGGTGAGGTAATTTTCTTTATGTTCAACAGATGCTACTGACGTTCAGTGAAAAGGAGGTGATTCATTCCTTAGTACTCATCCCACTAGTTCTGGGTGCTTGGGATATTTTAAAAATTCTGAAAATTTGCACTTTTTCAAATGTAAATGATAGTGTCCCTTACTAATAATTTCTCGTTCTTGTCAGTTCTATTATTACTCCTCCTTTCCTCAGCCAATAGCATAGGTATTTTTGGTTTCCTCCTCCCATTTCTTTCTCTTTGTATTCTTTTTTTACACAATCCGAACACAAATGCGTTCTAAACAACCCTAAAATTGCTTTTGTAAATATGCGTTAAGGACGTTTAATTGAGTCCATTCTGATTTATTTTATGTTTATAACTTGGAGTCAAATAAAAGAAAATCTAAGTTATTAAATTGTATATTTTGTTGTAACGTCAGGTTGAGTGCCTGGGCGCTGCTCTGTATGCACATTGTACAGTTTGGAAGGAATGCGACCTGACCCTGCCTCTGCTCTCTGGTAAAGGAGCAGTTTGTGGGAGCATCGGCAACTTGGCGTATCGGAGCCTTTGCACTTAGAAAAGCTGGAAACAACGTGGATGAAAGCAGTAGGAGTAAACAAAAACAGTAATGTTGTGGGGCGAAAAACACCCAGTCAATAATGGGTGCAAAGAGGATTATTAGATCAGTGAACAGTGAACTGCAGAGACATGTCATATATATATTCTCTGTCATCACTGCATGCATTAACTTTCAGACTACATGATATATCTGAACTGGGACTGTCAGACAGTCAGACGGGACGGGAACAAACTTAAGTGACCTTTATGCTCAAGGATGGTTACTTTACACATTAACTTGCAATATAGGGATTGACCTAACCTGGACCATGTGTAGTGTTGTTAGGCTCCTGTCGGGTCGTCCGACTGACCCACCACCTCCCATCAGTGAGGCTGTTCCTGGATCTCAGCAATAACATTTTAGTACAAATTCAAAGTAACTAATAGGGGTAACGGCCAAAATGATTTTTTTTTTAAATACGTAGAATTCCTTTTTCTATTGTTTTTACAAAATAACAGGAATTAGGTTGGGATCTTGGTAAATTCCTGACCCTTCATCTAGTCGCTGTCTCTATCTCTGTTTTCATTCTCTGGCAGAGCATCTGTGTTGTCCTCCTCTTCATCCTCATCAGCCTCTTCCTCATCTTCTCCTCCATTTATCATCTCCATCTCAACCTCCACTGCGCCCTCCTCAACTTCCCCATCCACTCCGTCGAATGGATATGCCTCCTGTGACACCTCCACCATCTCGGTGCCCTGGACCACCTCAGTGAGGCCCTCCCGGATCTTCTTGACATGAAAGGTAAAGGGGGGCACCTTGTACACCGCGGTGTTGGACCGGGCGTAGACCACATGGTCTGGCGTGAAGGCCTTCTTTACCTTGTCTCGAGATGTCTGCATCTTCTGCTTGCGCTCAGGGTTGACAGTCATTTGTGTTCCAAGCTTGCCCATCTTCTTCTCAATATTGTGACGGGTCTTCTCAATGTTATCTTTGGTCTTCTGTTTGGTCTTTTCTAAGTTGTCCTTGGTCTTCTGCCTAGTTTTTTCCAGGTTGCCCTTTGTCTTCTCCAGGTTGTCCTTGGTCTTTTGTTTGGTCTTTTCCAGTTTCTCTTTGGTCTTTGCTCTGGTCTTATCTATCTTCTCCTTTGAGAAGACTGTCTTCAGAGTTTGCACACGCTGCAGACTACTACGCTTGATGCGCTCGGCACGGGTCTCCTCAATGGTCTCTTCTATCTCTACCCCATCCTCATCTGACGAGAGGTCTGCGTGGGACTTGTCTGCCTTCTCTCCTTCTCTTTCCTCTCCCTCTTCCACAGCTTCCTTGAGTTCTAGGATGCTTCCTCCTCGGCTTCCTGATACAGACTCCGAAACCTTCATGGATTTAGAGATGTTGAGTTTTGAGGGAACCTTCACTTCATCCTACAGAGAAGAGAACACAAGGAATGTTAATGTATATGTTTTGATAGGATTTAGCAAAGCCACTGTGACAAAAGCCAAAGTCCAAAATAACATTACGTTCCAGAAGGATCAGTGAAAATGTGCAAAGAAAAATATATTTTGTAAGCCACAAAAAGTTGATAAATGTATTGCACAAAAGATGAAGTAGTCTCAGACAAAATCTGCCAGCTCATTATATCAAGTCATCGATATTTCATTGGAAAAAAATGGCCACCCAATAGGACATTCCCAAGTGAAGTTTAGTGTTCTGTTCTCTGTCCTCCTGTCCTCCTGTCCTTTTGTTCTCTGTCATCTGCCCTCATGTTCTTTATCCTTCCCACTACCCTGTTCTCTGTTTTCCTCTCTCTGTCCTCGGAGCAGACTGAATAGGTTCTTCTTTTGTTTACATGCTATTATTAGCTTTTTACAGTAACCAGCAGTTGCCAATCCAGTAATCTGCATTAGCCTTTCTGCTTGCTGTTTTCACCATGTGTGTGTTTGGAGGAGCTCACCCGCAAGACAAAGAGCATAGGAGATTCTACCTTAACTGTGGCGATAGAAAAAAAAAAAGTACAAATGAAAGCAAACAGAAATATTGATTATTAGTTTTAGGCAATCAAAACATACTGTAGCGACCCTGTTCAGCATTGTGTTATATACGTCGTTACGTCATTCCCCTCACTCTGGCCAATCAGGGGGAGTGCGCTAGACAGGGGGTGGCCAGTGATTGGGGGAGACGAGGGGAGGCGGGTGTTCCCGTGTTAGTGAAGTTTGCCAGAAGAGTGCCATGTTGTTGTTGTTGTTGTTGTTGTTGTTGTTGTTGTTATTGTTGTTGCTGTCTGCGAGTAACGACAGTGTAGCAATAGCGTGGGATGTTAACTGCTGCTGGAGAAACAAATAAAAGGATTCCTACCCGAAGGTCCATGGTGGGAGGTGGGAGGTGGGAACAAGGTGTAGAGGAATTGTGCAACAAAGGTAGTTTAATTTAAATCTGTACTCACATTAATAAAATGTGCATATAGTTTAGTGGGCCAATCATATTTCTCCAAAATATGTATTGGTGGCTGGTGGTAAAGGGAATTAAAATAAAGAAGTGTTTCCACTGAACCCCTACCAAGTTTCCTTGTCTCTGTACACGACCCCACCCGGTAGCTCGATCCTTGCTACACATGCGCTATTTCAATTTTAATTACCCTGCGATGACTGTTTCCTCTAGCAGCCCCCCGCCTCCACAGGACAAAGTAGCCCCACTACATGCACACTCAACACACAAGTAAGCGCCACATCCTGACTGGCCCACTCTGATGAAGCATTCTATCACAACACCACTTGATGCCAGCTCCCCTTTAGCTGAGGGATACTTTATCTTTCCCTTGCTCACTGGCCACTTAATCTCCCACGGACATTTGTTTTTCCTTGCCCTGTTTACTTGCAGATGAGGGAGCCTCTTCTTCCCCTGTTTCTATCATGTGCCTTTTTCAACTCGTAAATAAACTGTTTGTTAATGAAGGAATGGAAGAGGTGGAGGTTGGGAGGGGGGTCTTCCTCTTTCCATCACAACAAATCCTTGTGCAACTGGGCTCCTGAGTGTCTGCATCAGGGCCAATGCTGTTGTATGTATTGTATTTTCCTCTCCCTCCAAACCGCCTCCATGTTCAAAACAGGAACACAGTAGAGCCAGAACAAAGAACAACGAGTGTGTGTGTGTGTGTGTGTGTGTGTGTGTGTGTGTGTGTGTGTGTGTGAGTGTGTGTGTTTTTGTGTGTCTGTTGGGGGCGGAGGTCTGAAAAGGGAAGATACCTCTCTGCTGTTGTGTAGATTGTGTAATAGCACGAGTGGGATTATGCTTCTAAGTGGTAGAAAACCATCTGCTCAGCAGGAAGATGATAGGATCAGTGTGGAGGTATGAGAGCAGATGGGGGAGGGTGGGCCATTGTGTTCTGTTACAGTGTAATGGTGGTTTTATGAAGGCATTGTGCTGCAGTATCTTGGGTAAACTTGACCTCGGATGAGGAATCTTGGCTTTCCTGAACAGCTGTGCTGACAGACGGGGCTGCTGGAACATACCTGCCTTGCCAAAATTCATTACGTCTTGTTGCAGTTTCAAGGACAATGGGGTCGGTCTTGTGAATCACTTAAGCAATGTGTGGTTCAAGTCTTTGACATGGCCTCACAGTTTGTCACGATTGCTGCTATTGAAAGCCGATATTAGAGGGGAATGTTTACATGCAACTTTGTCTTGTGGGAATACGGTACTGCTTTCCCAGGATAAAATAGTTTCTAGTCGCACCTGAATGGAACGGTTCAACAATGTGAATGTACTCAATGGACACTGGAAAACTGCTAAGAAACAATGCATCAGGCCATCAGAATATGAGAGATTTTACTTAAAGGCCCCTTTGTCTAAGCTTTTTTGGCATCTAGTGGGGAGTTTGCAGACAACTTTAATGCTCGTTCCTCTCCAAGTCTCTTGGAAAACTAGGAACGGCTTAATACTCTTCTTTTCACATGAACAAGTAACTGCTTTAAAAACAACAAATACTTTCAAAATAGGATTAGAATTTCTATTTAAAACATACCGTAATAGCTTCATGGAGCAGTAGCAGTTATGTTTACATAATAACAAAGTCACTATTTAAAGCCATTTTATCTCACAGCTATATCTCATTAATACCTCAAACATAGTTATGAATGTTCTATTCCATTGTTTCAGTTTTATTTAATCTGCAACGTTTACATTTTTATCTGGATGTAGTGCTAGAACAAACCAAACTACAAATACATAAATAAATAGATAAATAAATGTCATGGCAACCACAAACCCTCTGAACGCCTCTGAACACTTTCCCTTAACAAAAAGAACATGGTTATGTTTGGGAAAAGAGAGTAGTTGATATACACTACTACTGAGAAACTGATATGTGGTTACACTGTAATGTAGACAAACAGGGAATGACCAACTGACCACCACACAACAGAAACCCACATGTACTTCTGCTCAGCAAAGAAACCCTTCCACCTGGACTATCCAGGACTATGTCACCCAACAGGCATTTTGTGGGAAAGCCCAGTCTGCCAGTTCAGAGTGTAGAAGGTCACAGGCCCTACGAAGAAGGACTGAACAGGGAACTCTGTGCCCTGTGGGTGTGTCTGTGTGTGTTTGTGTCAAACTGCATGGAAAGAATGTATATGGAAGTTCAGGCATTCACCTTCATGTGTTGACTTCCTGACCCTGCTAATTTAATGGTACATTGTTCTCCATGAGGCTGTCGCACAAAAGACAGGAAGGTACACCAGAGCCATGGAAAGTAGACAAATGAGGACAAATGGTTGTGTGAGTTAAAGTGAGTATGTGTGTGTGTGTGTGTGTGTGTGTGTGTGTGTGGCACTAAGACTAAATGTTGTCTTTCGCTCTTGCAAAAAATGTACAATGCAATTGAATTACAAAATGAAAGTCATGAGGGAAGTTGCAAAACATATTGTACCACAATGTTAGTGTGTAAGTGCAAGAGGGAGAGAGAGAGAGTCCTGGAGTGTTGGGTGTTGTTGTCTCGTGATTAGTTTCAGGACAGTCTATTCACCCTGCTCAACCTCCCGTAAAACACAGCTGAATTTCTCTTTCCCACCACTAATAGCACACACACACACACACACACACACACACACACACACACACACACACACACACACACACACACACACACACACACACACACACACACACACACATCCACACCATTCTACTGTTGATATTGACTCCCCCTTCTTTATTTTTCTCTTTCTCTCAGTGCGGTGAGATTGTTGCATGCAGTGCCTCGTGGTGGAGTGAAAGGGATTCTCAGTGCTCTCTGGCACAATGCATTATAAGTAAAAAAATCTCAGTTTCTCAAAACCACAATATGGCCTTAACCCAAACTGTACTTTGTGATATTTCACATACTATAGCCAGCCACTATTCTTAAAAGAAAGCATACATCAGAGATGGCATGTAAACATATATTCACTTTTAGAGAAATATTATTAATACAATGTTTTGGTCTGTTGGCAGGAAAAACTAGATGATGAACTTGATTCTCCCACTTGCAAAAAAAAAAAGTGTGGGATTGGATTTATATACTCTATTAAACTGTTAAAATGTATTATTTATCATTTGCCGAGACTGTCAGGTCAAAATGTGAAGCAGGAAAGGAGAATTTCTGTCACGGTTTGGGTTCATTTACTGCTAAATCGGCAGTGTATCAAATACCTGTTCTCCCCACTCTATGCCTCGGCAAAAAGGTAAAGTACACCTGATACATTGGTACGGTCAGGCAGGGCCAGCATGTATGATTTAGCGTTGGATTGAATTTTATGGGCGTGGCTAGTCAACTTGTACACAGAAACCATGGCAGCAGCAACGATGCCACAGGCGTTACCTCAGCCAATGTGTTTACACTTTTCTGCCAGTGTTTTTCAGCTAATTCTGAGCTTGTGTGCTTGGTCTCACTGGTGTTACATGACAGTAATAAACTCTTCAAATAAATATTCTGCTAGAACAAAAGGTTTTCAATTATATTTCCTCCTTGGCAGCCATAAACATTGAAGTTGTACTTGTGTCTCCATGGCAACTGTGGTGAGACTGACTGGAACTATGTTTCCAGATGAAAGGAAAGAGATGACTGTTGCTCCTTGTGGTGTATGTGTATGTGTGTGTGTGTGTGTGTGTGTGTGTGTGTGTGTGTGTGTGTGTGTGTGTGTGTAACGTGCTTGTGCCCTGACTTGTATGAACACATGTGCTCATACAGATGTGTAAATCTGTGTGTTTGTTGACATGCTCAAGTAGGTTTGGTTATAATGAATATGTGTGTTTGTTTAACGACGGTGTTTGTATGTGTGTGTGCACACAATCGTGCACTTCTTTGCATGTGAATGTGTGTGTGTGTAATGTGCAGCACGCCATGGAAGCTTTCCACTCTCAGCCTACAGTGCAACCACTCATCAGC